GACTCCAGGATCATGACCTGAGCCGAAGGCAGTTGCTTAACCAACTGAGCCACCCAGGCGCCCACACATCTATAGTTTTGAAACTAGAGAGAGCTGGTCATTGCCCAGCACTGTGTATACACTAAACACCACTGAATTGTACACTGAATTAAATTAAAAGGGCTAATTCTATGTTATAGGAATTTTACCTAAAAAAATACGTAAGCCGAAGGATAGCTAGAACAACACAAACATTCAGAATTTCTGTTTCAAAAAAGAGACCACAACAAAGCTATCAGAGAGATAAGACACGGTGAGAAGATATCCCCAACATCTAAAATGGACGAGGGGGTAAGTTCTAGAAAAATACACAAGCATGCCTGCAAAACAGCAAGGAAAGGGGCAGGAAAACAAAAAAGGTAAGAAGTGACCATTTACAGAAGGGAGAGACGGTGTGGAGGATTCTGTTTTCTAAGATGGCAGCAACACAATCTCTCATCCACATGCTACTCTCGAAATGTGACACTGACATTCCTCCCACGGAGAGAGCTGGGGGCTCCGCTCCCTCCCCCAGAAGCTGGGCAGGGCTGTGTCTGCAGCAGAAGAGACGCTCTGTCTCCTGAGGCCACTAGGTTGTCAAGATCCGTTTCTGCCTGCACCTCTTGGAGTGCTTGCTCTTAGAACCTGGTCACCATGCTGCATCTGGAAGCCAAAGAGCCCCAGAGGGGCCCCATGTAGGTGTTCCAGCCACTGGCTGGATGGAAGGAAGCGTTTCGGGTGACTTCATCCTCCGCAGGCTTGCGATTGCCGCTGTCTGGAGTCCTGGAGCAAGACTTGGCTGCAGAGCTCAGTTCACCCCAGAACCACGACAGACGATAATAAATAAATAGCAGCTGTTTTAGGCCATTAAATTTGGGCGATCTGTTTAGCAGCAGGATTTAGGACCTGGAAGTGGGTGTGGGTGTAACAAAGCCGAAAACACGGGGCGTTGGCTTTGGGGCTGAATGGTGGACAGAAGACAGGGGTGCCTTTGAGGATGCTGTTAGTCATCCCAAAAGCCATTGAAGAGGCTTGAAAGGAACGTGAGTAAAAGTTATTGGAAGCTGAAGGAAAGAAGCCCCTTGTCATACGGTGGTGGAAGTTTTGGCCATGCCGTCATCTGTGTTAGAGGAAGAGTAAATGTGGAGGAGTGGACTCAATGATTGAGGTCAGGAGATTGCGAGGCAAAACACTGAAAGTGTCACTTGGCTTCTTTTTGTTGCCTCCGGAAGCCATTTAGATCTTTAGAAACCATCTACATACGAGGCCAAGAATGTGACTACAAACCCCTTTAAGAGCTCAGAAAGATTTAAGGATTTCACAAGAAATCCTAACTAGGGAAGAGTTTATCTGGAAGAGATTTAGGGGTGTAGCTTTTGTTTAGTAGAGTCAACCCCAAGGAGATTCATAGAAAACCCACAAAATTCTAAGGGAATCGTTCTGAGGAAAGTACCTCCGGCTTAGAGGAAAGGCGATAGAGAAAGAAACTTCTGAACCCAACCTCTTTTTATGAACAGGAAACAGACTGAGATGCCCACTTCATTGCGATTAGGTTTTGTTATGGAAGAGGGAGGAAAGATTCAGGGGCAAAACCCAAGAGCCCAGAGGGTGGAGTTGAGAGTCTTGGTGAACAATTAGTAGGTTGTAGGATGGATTCCTACATAAGGAACTGGCAACACGTGCCAGGTGGGATTTCAGAATTACTACGGGCCACTGACTCCTGTGTGTTTCCATTTTCCAACATTTGGATAGGAGCATCTATAATGATTTTTCCATATCTGTCCCATCATTGTATGGTGTGTGTGTGTGTGTGTGTGTGTGTGTGTGTGTGTGTAGATAACTTGTATCTTTAGTTCACAGAGCTTTAAATCAAGAGGAATGGCACTCCAGGGACTGGACCTGAAGAATCACATCAGAGGAGACTCACCTGCACCTGGAGTTGTCTTGGATGATGAGATGTTGGACTTCAAGCTGATGCCATAATGGGATGAAATCTGGGAGTCTTTGGGGGAAGAGATGGATGTATTTTGCATATAGGGAGCCTGTAAATTGTTGGCGGGAGGGGAATGCAGCAGATCTTATTTTGCAAGGTGACCAGAACAGTATCTCCTATCTCAGAAGCTATCCTTACAGTGCATTGCTAACATCCTGTCATGCAGTGGCTTCTACATCCCTTCCCCTTGCATCCAGGTGGGTTTATGACTAAGGCAGAAGTCACACTGTGTGACTTCCAAGCCTGCACTGTAAAAGGTGATACAGCTTCTGTCTGGTCCTCCTGGATGCTTGTTCCTGGAACCTCCAGAACCAACGGAGATAAAATCACTGTTACTGTATCAAGCCACTAAATTTTGGGGTGATCTGGTTCTGCAGCAAAAGATAAATGATACAACTGGAATGACAAATATATGAAGAGATCATTCACTCAACAAATAGATTGAGCATTGACCCTGTGCCAGGCACCCTTCCGGGTGCTAAGGCTACACGACAGACTAAAATCCCGCCCTCCTGGGGCACACATTCTAGTGTGGGAAATAGACTGTAAATAAGTAAGTGATATTGTACGTTGGCTAATGATAAATGCCTGTGGACAGACCGGATAGGAGGAAAGCACAAGAGAGGAATCACGGATGACTCCCAAGTTTTTGGTCCGAGTGACCTAGAAGGATGGAGTTGCCATTTATCATGATGGGAAGACAAAGAGGAGCGGGTTGGGGGTGAAACAGAAGGAACTTAATTCAGAACTCTGAGGGCATCGGAGAAGACTAGTGTGTTGGGCACGGGAGAGAGGCCTGGGCTGAAGACACAAACTTCGTGCTTGACAATGAGTGGCCAGCAAGCAAAGCCCTGAGATTGAAATCATTTCACCATTTCCCATGAAGGTTGGGTCTGGAGCTGACCCCAGGGCCAAAGCTCCTTCCAGAATCGTATGCTGCTTCTCTGTATGTCCTTGGGCATTCTGAAGCTGGGCCATTCTGGAATACTGCCATACAGCAGGAGCATTGGCAGGATGACTCTGAAGCCCATGTGGCTTAGTCTCACATGCCTGTCTCACTAACACCATCTCCTTCAGACAGTTGTTGAGGATTAAGTGAATTATTACATGAAAGAGTGGCTTGAGCATAGAATGTGCTCACGAAAGACAAGTTATCTACAACCAACGTGGTTTCCTTCAGCCCAACACTAGTAGGTATCAAGGCCAAGCTCATAGGCCACTGTGGTCTCTTTCCATCAAAAACTTACCTAGTGAGACCAGGCCTCTTTATGTCTCCTTTCCACTCCAACCAAAACACGGTGAAATTCACTACTTTCTGCCCCAAATCCAAAGGTTGCAAAACGTGCACAAAATAATGTGCTCAGCTATCTTTTCAAAAGATATTTTATCAACTCCTTTTAAAATCCCACACAACAGTGAGTCACAAAACGAGTAAGAAGTTATTTTAATCATCTCTCTGCCAAGGACCATTTCTCTTCTGCTCAACTGATACTCGGATCCTCCTCATTTGACCATCTTCCTTGTAGCCAAGACCTACTTTTAAAATATTTTGGCATTTATCTTAATATCCGTAATTAACAGATTGCATCAAGCATAAGTTTCTATAAAACAGTAACCCCGAGACTCTAAAAAATAGAAACATGAATTATCATGCCCCTAGAGATGGTCCATACAGAAGACATGTCCTACCCAGCAGATCCCTGAGACCTCTGAATTCTGAATTTTCAAAATGCTGAGGGCGTACGGAGGGATATAGCAGCATTCTATTACATTCACAGAGACGTGCAGACAATATGACAGAATCTGTGCCTGTGAAGACTTTATAATCTGGTTAGAGAGGAGATAATAATACATATTCATAAGATGGATAAACAATTAGGCACAGAAGCCCCAAAACACAATTTTTTAGGCATACACATAAACAAGTTTAGTAAAAAGTGAACTAAATTAATGGCATTATTTGCAGGGTGGGATAATGAATGCATTATATTCTTGAGGGGAGGGGAAGTGATTTAGTACAAATTTGCTCAAGAGAAGCAGTACATATGGCAGTTGGGGGCATGGACTTCGGAGCCCGGACACTTGCTCTTCCACTAACTGACCAGGTGACCTTGAGCCAGTTACCTAACCTCCCCTCACCTCACTCCTGATGTGTGTGTGTTTTTTTTAAAGATTTTATTTATTTATTTGAGAGAGAGGGCATGAGAAGGGGGGAGGGTCAGAGGGAGAGGCAGTCTTCCCGCTGAGTAGGGAGCCGGACATGGGACTTGATCCCAGGACTCCAGGATCATGACCTGAGCCAAAGGCAGTCGCTCAACCGACTGAGCCCCCCAGGCGCCCACTCCTAATGTGTTTAAAAACAACCTGAGACAATAGTATTGTCTTCTTTTTTAAAGATTTATTTTTGAGAGAGAGAGTGCGTGCGCGTGCGAGCAGGGGAGGGGCAGAGGGAGAGGGAGAGAGAATGCTCAAGCGCACTCCCCGCTGAACAGGGAGCCCGACGGGGGCGCTTGATCCCAGGACCCTGAGATCATGACCTGAGCCGAAATCAAGAGTTGGCCGCTCAACCCACTGAGCCAACCAGGTGCCCCGAGAGTATCGCCTTCTTAGAGGATGAAGCCATGAATGTGCAAAAGCCTCTTTGTGCGGTGCCCAGCACACAGTAAATGCTCGCTTTTATCATCGCACGATGACACGGGCTGGCCTTGAGGAAGAACTGGAGAAGTCAGGGAAAAGGTACCAGCCATGGGGACCAAGTTGGGAAGAGCAGAGACCGAACGTGACAAAGCTCAGCCCCTCACACACAGAAACGGTGAAATGAGAACCAAATGGAGCACCAAGACTGATACAAACGCGGACGTTTTATTTTAAAAATAGCAACTCTTAATCGGCTGCAGACAAGAGGATTCACCACGTGCAAACTCATTTGGCTCTTGTCCTTCACCCACCCCTTTGCTTTCCACAAAAAGAAGAGACTCAAAGAAGGTTCCTTCTGAATGTGTATCACCATTTATTGTAGTTTGCGTTAGGAATCGAACAGAGGACATTGTCTGTGGAGGGGGGTGGAAAAAAGGAAAAGAAAAAGAAAGTCTGTTCTCGTAGCTTAATTTCTTCAAAACACTTCACGGTTTCAGACCCTTTTTTACCCCAAAGGAAATGCAAGAATTCAAGTATGTTAAAGTCGGGAGCAGTAATACAAAGTCTTGTTTCTGTGTGTGTGTGGGGGTGTGTGTTTGTGTGTGGGTTTACAAGCAGGCACACGTCCACGTTTCCTGCACCCCGTGTTTGCTTTGGTAAGGCCAAGCCCCAAAGGACACGTTCTACAGATGATCCCCTGCCTCGAACTCACAGACTCCAGAGTTGAGGAATTTCTCTTCCCTCCTAGGATAACTGTAATGGTTTTGAACTGTCCACACCCCCCCCGTGCCCGCCCCCCAAAACCGTTAAGTTATGTAAATCCTGATATACTTGAACACTTCCTTTGCTGCAGCTGTTCCTCAGATTCCTAATAGAGGCCTTATGACAAGACCACAGCAACAGGTTCTCTTCATTTTGTTTAGAATAAAAAAACTTTAAAGGGACATTTCAAAAGAAAAAAAAATAAAAACTGAAATTCGAATTCTGAAAATATCTTGCCTTTTTTATTAATCATGTCATCTAACACCAATTAAAAAAACAAATATGTGAATATGATATAAAAATACGATCCCAGGATTAACACTTTGTTGCAGGCACAGTTATCTCACAGAGTATATGTTTGGAGGGCCAGGGGGAAGGAGTTTATTTTTGTTTTTGCTTCTCTTAAAAAAATCCACAGCAGTGCAAGTCGGGTCAGGAAGGGAGGGGGGTAAGGATTCTTTAGCAGCAAAATGTCCAAGGTTCTCTAATCACAATCAAATCAACGGATATTGGATTGGGGCGGGGGGGGATGAACGGGAGGCTGCCCAGACCCATTTGTCATCAATCACTAAAAGACTTCCGTTGCAAAAGCCCCAGTGGTGACATAGGAAGGACGCGCTTTATTACATAAGCAATCGTAAAGTGTGTTCCTCAAGCTTTTGACCATGTGTGTCACTTAAATATATGTACAGGAATGGGGCTCCTCTCCTCAACCACGTCCTTGCAGGTCTCCACCGTCTGGGCACTCGTGGGGGGGCTCTCGGCGTCTCTGCCGGGCGGGGCCGAAAACATCTGAGCAGCGTTTCCACCACCGACGCGGCTTCCGCCTGCCTGGCTGGCCTCGGCTGTGTCTTGCAGAGGGTGGGCACGGGGGACGGTTTAATGATCACTGTTTTGTTTCTCTCTCATCCAGGCGTGAATCTGTTCTTTCAGTTCTGGCACTGGGAAGAGAAAAGGAGAGGATTAATGGCCCCGGACGGGAGGGCTCTTCCTAGGAGACGCAGCCTGCAGTTCTCTCCCAACAGAAAGAAAAGGCCATTCACTCCCTCACTGACACGAGGACTGAGGAAGCAGCAGGACCCAAGGACTAGACTCCCACAGTGAATCAGAGCAGAGAATGTTTTGTGTCTTTTCCATGAAGTGCCGTAAGCTATGGAAGCTTCGGGATTTGGTAAATCACCCCCTCCTGATGGATCTCTGGCATGGGATTCAGGCGCCACTCCTCTACCTGGTTCCAGCATACTCTCGGTCAGCATCTGTCGGTTGAAGGGGTCCGTGGGAGAGTTGAGCAAGTGCCGCAGGATGATGGAGCGGTCCATGATGGTGCCCGAGGGCAGCCGCACGGGGTCGGTCATCAGGGTGTCCATCAGAGGGTCTGCGGAGACAAAGCAAAGCAAACTCTCATCTCGGCGCCCAAAACTGAAACTGAAAACGAAACAAAGTGTCTATCCACAGACACAGCAATCGCATGGTCCGACCAGGCCGCCAAGTGCGGCCGAAGTTGGCATGAGATATAGATGTCCATGGTGCCTTTGGGGGAGGGGGACACCCCCTTCGTCAGCTACAGCTGGGGGCGGGGGAACAGAGGAAAAGGACCAGGTCTCTGCAGGAAAGACAGTGGCTGGAGCCCTTCATCCGAGACCTTCCAGGACTCTTCTTTGGAAATGCGAATCCCCTCTTGCACAGGCAAGGCTGATCTTGGCATTTTCATGGTTGATACTTGGTTTGAAATCAAGATAAGGACTTTTCCCCCCCTTTAATTTACAACAGGAACTAAAAGTAGGCAAATGTAATTTCAGACAACGTGTCTCAAGGAGTAACACTAGCACACCACACAAAGGTTAAAGGCACAGAACGCTGTCTTTTCACGTTACGTGTCTCCAGGTAATTCAAAGAATTTGGCACGAAGAGAGTGGCCCGCTTGCCTCTGAACTCGTCGGGGGCGTCGCTGTAGTCGATTTCTGCGCGCGCGTTCTTGGCCACTATCTCTTCCACCTTCTCCGCGAGGAGCTTAAACTTCTCGATCGCTATGGTGGATTTGATCCCTGCCTTCCGCATCTTCGAGATCACTTCTTCAAACAACTCTTTGCTGTAGGATCTCTGCGAATGAGGGAAGACAATGTGAGACATCAATACATTTTAAGTGGGAAAAAAGCAAGCTGCAGAAAGTGCCTGAAGGGGGCGCCTGGGTGGCTCAGTCGGTTAAGCGGCTGCCTTCGGCTCAGGTCATGATCCTGAGGTCCTCGGATCGAGCCCCGCATCGGGCTCCCTGCTCGGCGGAGAGCCTGCTTCTCCCTCTCCCTCTGCCTGCCATTCTGCCTACTTGTGCTCTCTTTCTCTCTCTCTCTGTCAAATAAATAAATAAAATCTTAAAAAAAAAAAAAAGTGCCTGAAGTATGATCCATTTGTGTCTTTCTAAAAAAGCCCTAAAATGATAATGCGTATATAGTTTTACATGGCTATAAACACATACAGACTGGAGTAACACGTACAAGACTGTGCCAGGTCATTACCTCTGAGGAGGACTTTAGGACTGAGGCAAATGAGGGGAATTTTGATTTTTGGAATTATTTTCTACATCAAACATGTATTTGTCTTAAAATTTGAATTTAAATTATTTACTTATTTATTTGAGAGAGCGGGCGAAGGGCAGAGGGAGAATCTCAAGCATACAAGCAGACTCCCTGCTGAGTAGGGAGCCCGACTCAGGGCGCGATCCCAGGACCTTGAGATCATGATGCGACGAAATCAAGAGTCCGACAATTAGCTGACTGAGCCACCCAGGCTCCCCTAAAATTTAAATATTAAAAAGAGAATGAAAATCGCGTCTGTGTGGGGCTTTGAAAGGCACTGTGCCCTGCAACAAATGTCGGCTCTTTTCCCTAAAGGTCAACATGGTGAAAACAACCCAATATGGTTCATAATCAAAAGGAGCTTTATCCTGTTCGTGGTCAATCTTTCTCCCAGAGCTCTCAGCTCAGCACTGTTAAATGTCAGGTGCTCTGCTGAGAGGAGCATGAGGGATGGTGGAGAGAGGACAAGTCTCCACCAAAGACCCAGATGAACTTGGACTTGAATTCTGGCTCCACAGTCTACCCACTGGGTAGTCTCAGGCAAACCCCTCTGGGCCCCAGGTTCCTCCGGCATAAAATGGGGGGTGGTAACACCCACCTGACATGTGCCTACTTCATATACATCATTGCCGTTTTGAAATATCACAGCATATCCGAATTTGCATTTATGGCAACAACACTGGCCACCTGTCAATTCAGTGACAGTGATGCGAACAGAGGAGGAGACTGATCAAGCCTGAGACTCCGAACGATGGCCCAGTAACCCCTGAGCGGCGCTTCCCTTCCAAGGACTCAGACGAATGTCTATGGGATGAATTCATGTCAATACCTGTATTTTCTCAGAGCATGGGGTTGAGATTTCTCAACCTTTCTTCTTTTCTTAACTTCAGTTTCCAAGTGAGTGTACGCACCCGCACGGAAGAGAGAGGGAAGGGCACGCACTAGCATTGGCCTGGCAGGAATCCTAAAAGCCATCTCGTAATCTCGTACCATCCTGAAAAGTTCCGAGAGCCTCAAGTATAGTTTTCTGAAACTAAACTACTACACGGATTCAGCAAATACCTTATTTGACATCTCCTTCTTATGAGCCAGGAAGCCACAGTCTCCATCCCTTTGGGGAGGGGCACAGCAGATAAGTGGCCAAAAGGTTATAGGAAGATGTTGGAAGGGCAAAATTAAAATATTGCACACAGGGACTTATTGCGGGTTGGGCACTGCAACTGAGACGATTTCACTTTGAACTTCTTTGTAACAAGGAGCCACTTGCTATCCTTGTGAAACATCACCCACTCTATTTCTCAAACAATGATGAGTTTTTAACCAACTGACCTGTGCTTACTTATAAGTCAACTTTTAAGAGCAGTGTGGTGGGCATTACCAGAAAGCAAAGGCAACCCGCGATAAGGGGACGTGGCATTCAGCCTCACGGAGCAATGGAATCAATGCATGGAAAAAAGGCACATTACTGAGCTGCTGCTTCGAGTCTGATGTGGGTTGGGTCAGAGACGCAGTCGTTCTTGTCCTCAAGGATCTTACAGAGTCTTTCAAAAATTAAACACAGAAATATCTACAAATCATATATCTGATAAAGGCCTTGTATCCAGAATATATAAAGAACTCCTACAATTCAACAACAAAATACAAACCATCCATGTAAAAATAAAAATGGTGAAGGACTTGAATGGCCATTTCTCCAAAAAAGATATACAGATGGCTGAGAAGCACACGAAATTTGTCATTATGAAAATGTGAATCAGAACCACAGTGAAGTACCACTTCACTCTCACTAGGGTGGCTATTAAAAAAAATGAAAAAATAACAAGTGTTGGTGAGGATGTGAAGAAACTGAAATGAGACCCCTTGTCCACCGCTGGTGGGAATGGAAAATGGTTTGGCCACTGTGGGACACAGTGGGAAAGGTCCTGGAAAAGTTCAACATCGTATTACCGTAAGATTCAGCGATTCTACTCCTGAGTATATACCCAAAAGAATTAAAAACAGGCAGGGGCGCCTAGGTGGCTCAGTCGTTAAGCGTCTGCCTTCGGCTCGGGTCATGATCCCAGGGTCCTGGGATCGAGCCCCGCATCGGGCTCCCTGCTCAGCGGGAAGCCTGCTTCTCCCTCTCCCACTCCCCCTGCTTGTGTTCCCTCTCTCGCTGTGTCTCTCCTCTCTCACTATGTCTCTCTGTTAAATAATAAAATCTTAAAAAAAAAAAAATTAAAAACAGGTATTCCAATACTTGGTCACAAATGTTCAGTGCGTACCATTTATAACAGCCAAACGGTGGAAACAACTCAAAGGTCCACCAATGGATGAACAGATGAGCACATCATGATAGATCCACGTAATGAGATATTATTCAACCATAAGAAAGGAATGAAGTACTGTACATGGATGAACCTCAAAAACATTATGCTAAAGAAGCTAGACACAAAAGGTAACATATTGTATTATTCCATTTACATGAAATATCCAGAATAGGCAATAGGTAAACCTAAAATTAGGTAAAACAAAGACAGAAAGCAGATCAGTGGTCGCCCAGGGCTGGAGTGATGGGGGATGGACAGTGCCTGCTTAACGAATACGGCATTTCCTTCTGGGGGAGACGTTTGCATATGATGTTGGAACTAGAGAGAGGTGGAGGTTGCATAACACTGGGAGTGCACAAAAGTCACCAAATTGTGCACTTTAAAAACGTGAATCTTGGGGCGCCTGGGTGGCTCAGTTGTTAAGCGTCTGCCTTCGGCTCGGCTCATGATCCCAGGGTCCTGGGATCGAGCCCCGCATCGGGCTCCCTGCTCCGCGGGAAGCCTGCTTCTCCCTCTCCCACTCCCCCTGCTTGTGTTCCCTCTCTCGCTGTGTCTCTCTCTGTCAAATAAATAAATAAAATCTTAAAAAAAAAATAAAATAAAATGGGTGAATCTTATGTGAATTTCACCTCAATTAAAAAAAACAAAAACAAAAGGAAAGATGGATAGGAGAAATGTGACTTCGGATGGGCTCTTTATTCTTTTATTTTCATTTTATTTTACTTTTTAAAGATTTTATTTATTTATTTTACAGAGAGAGAGAGCACTTGAGTGCGAGCAGGGGAGGGGCAGAGGGGGAAGGGAGAGAATCTTTTTTTTTTTTTTACCCCACAGGTAATACCCCACAGGTATTAATAATACCCCACAGGTATTACTGGGCACTGTCCCCCACTTGGTCTTCACCATCTCACGGGCTGTGCTGTGTTTATTCACACTGCAAGTTGGTTACCTTTACCACTCGTGATGTGGCAGCCACAGCAAGGCCTAACCAGCAAGACCCTGCTACATGACTCTTCCAAGTCTCTTACAGTAAAGAGCAGAACAGTCTCTGGGGACTTCTCACACCGTGACCTCTGGCCGGGCTACCACAGCCTGGCTGCAGTCAGTCTGCTGTACAGCAGACACCCCCATCCGGATGGGGGTGCATCTTTGTTTTCTTTGTCTAACTGCAGACTGCCACTTACCGTCCATAGGTCAGCATGGGCAGTATTGTAGTTATCGGCTAGAAAAACATCCTTGCACCTCCCCACAGTAACTGCAAACTCTTACCCCCACTCCTATAGCACCTTTTTTTTTTTTTTAGGATTTTATTTATCTGACAGAGAGAGAGAGAGAGAGAAAACAAGCAGGGGGAGCAGCAGAGGGAGCAGGAGAAGCAGGCTCTCTGCTGAGCAGGAAGCCCAATGCAGGGCCTGATCCCAGGACCCTGGAATCGTGACCTGAGCTGAAGGCAGACCGTTAACCTACTTAGCCACCCAGGTGCCCCTATAACACCACTTTTTATGGAAAACCCACTTTAGACATATGTGTTGTTCCCCCCTGCAGGCACTCTGTCAAGACCGACTCTCTTGCTTACATCCAAAAGTACCCACATATGTGAATTATATCTCAGTAAAGCTGTTATTAAAAAAAGGAGTACCTACAATTTCCATATTTTACTATCATTCCTTTGGGTGGGATATGGGTGAAGAACCTTCTAGAGCCCCTACTGCTAGTTAACCTGAAACGTGAGTGAGATTTAGACAGAGAGTGTGAACAAAGATGGAGAGACAGGGCGCCTGGGTGGCTCAGTTGGTTAAGCGACTGCCTTCGGCTCAGGTCACGATCCTGGAGTCCCGGGATCAAGTCCCGCATCGGGCTCCCTGCTCAGCAGGGAGTCTGCTTCTCCCTCTGACCCTCCCCCCCCCATGTGCTTTCTCTCTCTCTCAAATAAATAAAATCTTTAAAAAAAGAAAAAAAAAGATAGAGAGACAGATGAGCATGGAACTTTTTGGGTGTTTTAAGTAGAAGGCAGAGAGGCTGGGAGCACCTGCTCAGGGCCAGACTGCCTGGGTATGAACCCTGCCTCTATCCCATACTCCCTGCTGCCTGGAGCAAGCTGTGTCAACTCTCTGTGCCTCAGCTTCCTCAGGTAAAAATGAGGACTCTAATAGAACCTATACCACAGGATTTTGCGAGGATTAAGTCAATGAAAACAAGCCAAGTGGTTAGAACTTGGTATTCAAATGATAAACGTCAGCTCTCAGGATGCTGCCATGATGCAGGACAGAACACGGCTGGTGGCGGAGCCCCTTATGAGACTGCTGGGAAGTCAGGGGGTGGGGGTGCTTGGCCTACATTGGCAGGTGTGGAAATCACAAACACGGAATGGGCGTCATGACAGCAGCGGACACAAGGAACAGAGCAGAGGACTGTGAAGACAACCACACGAGGTCTGAAGCCACAAATCGCAGTAACCGCAGCACCAGCGCGGGGGGCTTGGGAAGCAGACTGGGACCCCGAACCCCTGAGAAGGCTGGACCTTGGTGGGAAGGAGATGGATCTGCTGCATGAGGCCCTTGGCAGGATGGGCCAGGAACCCCACTGGAGATGGATCCAGGAGCCAAATCGGCTTTCACACCCGAAGGAAAAGAGCCGATTCATCTTCATTTACACCAGACAAGATCCCCTGGCCCATGTGGTGATTACTTCCACTTACGTCCTAAAAACCTCCCAAACCACAAGTTGAAAAGTATCGCTTTCCCTGATTCCAAGTGGGGAAAACCCAGGGACAGACGGGTCTGCCAGGAAGTCCAGGGAGATGCGCACTCTGGCCAGCCGGGTCGGCAGCCTGAGGCCCGGTCTCCCCCTGCAACGGCCTGCTCCCCGGGCACTGACCTGGTCGTCAGCAATGGCTTTGGCGAACCGGGCACAGTCCAGCTGCAGGTAAATATCCGTCAGTTGGTCCAACAGCTTCTTTGGTTCAAAGCCGTACTTCTCAGGGTTTTCAACTTTCAGGTCACGGCACTTGGGGCCACAGAGTTGCTGAAGATTAAAGTTCAGCATTGCAGCCAATCGGGGTCCAAGTTCCTAGGAAATCACAGGTAAGAGGACAATTCGTGCTGTTGAGACAAGCGAGAAGGACCAAAACTCCCATTTCAGTGGAGGAACATGAATTGGCTGGATTAATCTTCAAAGAATCCCTTAGATGTACTGTGAGTCATAAGCTGAAGGACATTTATATGCAAAATTTTCTTTATTCTCCATCTCCAATCCAGTAGTTCTAACACCTAATAATGTTACAGGTTGGTGGAGTATCTATAAATACGAACAGAAGGCAACCTTTTCTTTAAATTCACGCTTTCAATGATAAAAACAAGTCACTCCAAATTCACTGAGAAGCAGGTAAGAGGGAAAATCACTCATAATTCCATCTCAAATAATTTATTATAGTTTCCTAACAATCAAAGACTCGCTGAATTGGGAGTTCCTAAACATAAAATAAAACACGTTTTTAGTGCAGGGATTGGCCAACTGCTACCTGCAGGCCGAATCTGGCCCAAATGCTTGTTTTTATGAAGTCTTATTCAAACAGCCACACTTGCTTGTTTATATATACTTTTTCTGTAACTGCTTTTGTGCTACAACAGCCAAGTTAAGTAGCCGTGCCAGACTGTGCAGCCCACAATGTCTAACTCTTTACTATCTGGGCTTTGTAGGAAAAGTTAAAGGAAATTCCATTTGCAAGCCCCAGGGAAGCAAGGGTCTGAACTATCTTGTTTAAATTAGTTGCGGTGTTTGCATGCTTTCAATAGTGAGCTTGGCTTTGTTTCACGTTCCACTGCTCTTTTATGAAGAGAAGTGAAATGGAAAACGGACAGAGGAGGAGACTCATTGCTGAGAGGCACCCAGGCCAGGGTGTGGCGAGAATGCTGAGCCGAACGGTGAGCATGGACACTGGAGGAAGTGAGGAATAAAATTACGTTCCATTGTAAACCTGTCTCCACATCTCCAGGCAATTAATGACCAGCTTCCAGGCCCCTTCCTTGACTTCGTCACCACCCTTGTCCCGGCCACACCATAAAGCTTCTGTGCCGTGCGGCAGTGGGAGGGCAGGGGGTCAACACAAAGCGGCGATCTTCAGTTAGGTCACTCAGTTTCCATTTCAGAAGCAGGACCCAGGTCTTAATAGTATCAAGGCCAAATATTCTGACTACCTTCAATCTATCATAAACCCCAATTATGGCTCTCATTACCCTTTGGCTTCTTGAGTGTAATAAAGCTACAGCCAGGAGAACCACAGATCTTACCCATTATCAGTGATTTCTACTTACTATAATTCCTACCTGATGCTACTTTCTACTTTTCCTATAAATAAAATACAGGAATCAATAACAATAAAAATATGTCACAGCTTCAGCATTAATAATCCCATGTGCTATGTAAGCAGAACGCGAATTACGTTATTTTTGGAAGAGACTGTTTGCCCACTTTTTTGGTCTTGCCCCAGAGTGCTAGATCACTTGGCATAACTGGGAACAAACTCAGCATCAAGCTTTCACTTAGCAACTCGGAGCTGAAATGTCCAGGATCTCAGGAACTACCTTTAGTGACAGGTGACGGAGCTTGACTGTGGAATCCGACACACGAAATAAACATCCCGAAGTTTCTACTCACCGGTCTGAGGAACGGCTTCTGGACCTGCTTCGTGAGGATATGGAACATGTCCACGGTTTCTGTTGCCAGGGCAAGATAGGAGCGGGACACACGCTCGTCCTGAGCAAGCTGGGACTGACGGGCTTGCTGCTGATCCTAGGAAGGCCAAGCAGAAGTCAGCTCTGGCCGTGAGCGCACCAGCACGCCGAGCGTGAAGGAAAATGGGACGAGAGCACAACAAGGCCCACAAGCTGAGGGAATGAGAATGACCCAAACCAGAGAATTTTCCAGATAACTGAAGTTTATTCTTTTTCAGCGTGAGAACTCTCTGGGTCTCTGAGTAAGGTGACCCTGGCACACTGTTTAACTTACATGAGCTCCTGTTTCCTCAAAGAAGTCACTAAAAGGAGTCACCTTCAACTTCTGTGCGGGATGAAATTAGCGAATCTTCCATCACACCTGATACATGTGGTTGCTAATCCAGGATAGTTTGTTTCCCTGAATAACAACTTGTAGTCACTACTATTTTAAAAACATGTGTTGTGCTATGCCTCGATACTGGGGCCTAGAGGTTTTGCCCCTACACCAAGAGCCTCCAGATTGCTAAGGTTTTGAGTTTCGTCTCGCTGTACTCTCAGGGTGTCGCCCCGGACAACTGTCAGCATGCTTGCCTCTGGCACCATCTTCCTCCTCCATTTCTGCCAGGGGCCAGGAAACAAGATAATAAGGTGTGCTTGACTCGGGGGTAGAGCAAGGTGGAGCACTGAAGGCTCTGGGATGGAGAAAACACCCAGGAACAGCAGTGAAGTCGGAAATTCTTCTATCTCTGCTCAGAGGCCATTTTACTTCATGCTGAGGGGAGGGCAGTAGCTAGAGCAGCTGATGCCGCCACAGGAGGACCTCCTGGGGCAGTGCCCTCTGAGAGGGTGCGTGGGGGAGGCTGTGCAGTGATGCTGGGTAACCTGCCCACTGCCCCCTTGGCCAAGAATGCGCCTACAGAACACATGTCGAAGCGGGAAGACATAAGAACAAGGTGAGAACTAGTGCAATGCGTGTCTGCATGTCACACGCTCTCCTCCACACATGGTATCCGGGCCCTCGTCCAGGCCAGGCTCACCCTCAGGCACTGGAGCGCAGAACACGACCATCAGGCTCGCAGGCCTCATGAAGCTTAGCTCGCAGGCGGGGAGACAAGCAATAAACAAACACCCGCACAGACGCATAACAAGTCTGAGAGTGATGGAGAAAAGGCAAGCAGAAGAAGAGAGTGGTCAGGGACAGCCTCTGAGAAGGTGACATTTAGGTGGATGTTTGAAGAAGAGACTCGGCAGAAATCTGGGGCAACGGTGCTCCCAGTCGGGGGAACAGCAAGCGTGTCAGCAGCAGGGCGAGGAGGCCCGTGTGGTTCGGGGAGAGTGGGTGACGGGGAAAATGGTGGGCCGGGCCACTCTAAGTCGGGACTGGACGCTGTGTGAGAAGGGCAGCCTGGACGAGTTCTGAGCCAAGTGGTGGTAATGAGCAAACGGGTTTTAACAGCATCCCTCTGGTATGGACACGGGCAGGAGTGGAGGCGAGAGACCGGTCAGAGAGGCTACAGCAAGCCAGGCAAGAGAGGGCTGCGGCCCGGAGGTGGGGCAAGAGGCCAGATACGGGCATTTTAGGGTAGAGTCTTGAGGCGCTTGTTGAGGGCGAAGAATCAGGGAAGACTCCCAAGCGTTGAGTCAGAGCACTTAACAGAATACAGAGGTCATTCAGTGAGGCTGGGCAGACCCGGAGAGGAGACGTGGAGGACCCCACCAAGGGATACTATTAGACCACCGGGCAGAGGGGCAAGTCAACAGCTGGTTGATGAAGCACGTCTGGAGTCAGGAGAGATAGGAGCTGAGGAGACACATTCTGGAATCTTTAGAATACAGACCGGTAAACAGATGAGATCGCCCAGCAGTGAGTCTGAGCTGCGGCACCAGGCCTCGCGTGGGAGTGCTTCTGGCTGCCTGACAGGGCTTGGGGCGGGAGGGTACATCACTGGCCCGAGATGGTAAATGTCCTGCCGCGTCGGTGCAGTCTCTCATAATAACGAACTACTGCTACAGCAAAATTCTGCTGCACTCACGATTCCAACTAGCACCCTCCCTGAGAGGCAGCAACCTCAGCCGCGGGCGTGGGGAGAGAAAGGGAGAACCTGAGGGCCGAGCAGCGGCGTCCTCCAGCATTCAGACGACGGGCCGTGGGAGGAGCAGGCATGGAGGGGGATGGCAGAAGGTGACTTCAAGGTCAAACGGACATGACGTCGGGAATAGCACTTGCTTGAAAGGATTACTTATGCTGTCTTCTCATCCACGAGCACGGAAAAGTCAATGGGAATTGTTCGGCCATCTCATAAGCAAATGCTAGCAAGCACTGACTGTGAATGAGATAATGTGCCACAGAGCAGTACCCCACCAGCTCCGCCGTTAGCTGGGCTGAGATGAGCATCTCGAGCGACATAAAGTGGGTGCTACAGAAGTAGAGAGAAAGGTGGAGATCTGCAGCCACACTGACTGGGGTAGTCCAACCATGAGGGACTACTTGGACAAGACCTTACTCAGAGAATGGGTAGGATTTTAATACATAAGAATGGAATGTAGAGAATTGTGGACAGAAGGAATGTCTCAAGGCACATGAAACAACAGAAGCTACCCAGTCCTGAGCTACGTGGTGACATCTACTGTTCCTCCTCATTGCTTTTCTGCAAAGCAGGGATCGTCTCTGGTTTGTGGACAAGGAAACAGAGATTAAGGAACTCTGAAGGCATGGCGGTGTCTGTTCTCAAACCCAGGTGCCCTTGACTCCAAAGCTGGAGCTCCTTCAACTGGCCTCATCTGTTTCCCAGCCTGTTCTGCAAGGGCCTGAGGACCGGTCCGGATTGGAGCCAACAGACCGGAATGGGAGGTAAGCTTGGAAGGATCTCTTAGAGTCACCGTGGCGGGGGGCCATGGAGCAACAAGTCTGGGCCACCTCCCGCCTCTGGGACATGGCGGGGTGAGGGAGGCACAGTAGCAAAACAGTCTAACGGGTGTGTAGACGTGAATACGAGGGTAGAGGGTAGGCCGGACTCGGACAGGTGCCAGTGCAGTGCCAAGGACAAAGAGGAAAACCACCGCATCATCTCAAGAATACGGTAAGAGGGGTTCTAGCAGTGTGGCAGCCCGGACACGGGAAATCCAGCATTCACGGGCCCTGGGCAAAGCTCCCGGGAGGTTTCAGTCTGTGGTGTAAGCACGTTAGCTACAGCAAGATGGAAACTTCTCATCAAAGCTGCAGGAATACTTGGGATGAAAACCTTTCCTAAACGGGCTTTCATATGTGCTTACCTTACCTTAAGCCTTAGAAGCTCGACAGCATTTGCGTTTTGAGGATGCTATTGCTAGTCAAGAAAAAACAGTCCTCCTTACTTTTCCACGAGAACTCTTTTTGGAAAGCAGTTCTGATTCTGAGCCTGAGAACACCAGGCACAGAACGAACCAACGTATGAAGTCACCCGTAGCTGTCGAGGGCTAAGTAACTGATCAGAGAACCATCTACATGGCTGCAAGAAATGTCAGAAAAGCGTGTCAGTATGCTGTCACTGGCACAGCATGAATTTCTCACGGAACCTGGCAAAACAACCCTCTCTTCCATTAATAACTGAACATAAAAACCAAGATCAACTGGAAGGAAAAAACCCACCAGAATCCTGCGTGAGTCACATAGTTGTCTGAAGATCACATGAGCAAATCAAATGCCTGTCTGGCACCGCATTCTAGAGATTTCCTTCCTACTTTCATAAATTGACATCAACACATTCAGATAATAAAAGCTCTTCTCCAAAAAAGCCCTTTGAAATTAAAAAGGCAAGGAAGTTTTCAGGACACGTTTTGAAAGACTTCTCAACTCATATCTTAGCTTTAGATCAGGTGTCTAAGCTTACTCCTACCCCAAACCTGGGGTGTAACTTCATGGACGCCCACAGGTGGGAGGTGACAAGCAGTGACAAGTCAGTCAGAGCTACGTCACCAGGGCCCACAGATGCGGCCCCGAAGCAGAGCTCTGCCCGGGGCCAAAGGCAGCTTCCCTGCCACAGCTGGCCCACTATGTCCTCACCCGGGGCAGCTGGTCCCACTGTTCTTTGTTCTTCATCTCTTCTTGCACTTCGTGGATTCGCTTCAGAGACTCCAGACTTTCATCGAGCAAAAACGTCGTGTCATTTATCAGCATGTTTATATAGCGAACAAACTGCTTCCCCGAACTGAAAAGGCAATTACATTGGACATGGTCATACAGCTCCCTGAGGCAAAATGCTGCAGCAGATCCCAAAGAAAATGGGCCCCCGCCCAAAGTGCCAACCACGTTGTCCTGTAAGACTGCCCACCTTGGCACCACTCAAGTACTGCAGAGGTCAAGGACTATGGAGTTTCTCCTTGGATTTTGTTACTCCTTTTAATTAAGAGTGATAAGCTCACTTCAGTGGTGCCTTGGAGGTACTCTGCACAGTTTATGAGAGCCAGTTGCTCATACTTCAGGATTTTGTGAGCAGATTCCCTTGAGAGCTTAAATTTGGCACCAGTGGAAGTATTTACATCCTGCTCCTCGGCCTTTTGGCTAAGATCAAGTGTGGCAAACCAGCAAATGCTGAATTTTTTCCCCCTTCTTCAGACAGCAGGTTTATCAACACGTCCCTGGCTCGTTCTCTCAATGACTTTAAGTAGAAAAGACACTCTTCCAGACTAGAAAATATGCTTAAACTCACCAAGATACAAAGAAAGCACAATTACCCACATATAAGAGACAAGAGAATTACCAATACAGTGATTCCTCATTATAAAGAGACATTGAAGAAAAGCTGGAAGCTGCAATATTGATAAAGGAGAATATTAACTTACTTTCTAGAACCTGAAGCTTCCCATCTATAAAACTGTCCTCCATATCCTGTTACAGTGGAGGGCTCGCTGGGGCACTGAGATGCTGGTGCACCGTCAGGCTTTGTAACTGCAAGATTAGTGGAGCAAAGAAGAGCTACATACACTTTAGGATCTATTGCTGTGTAATCAGGGGGCGGGAAGCCCGTGCCTGGGGAGGAGAAGTTCCTGCGAACAAGGGTGGGAAGCTTAGATTTCAGGAACAAGGAAAGTTCAGGGCAAGCACTCCCACTCAGCACCACGCAGATCAAGCCATGGGCCTGTCTGGTCTAAGCTCATGCCAGGGCTTGTGGGAACATAATTCTGACCATAAGAGCAACTTTTGGAAAGAGAATTAACTTGAAGAGTCTACTCTGCAGAAACCTATCTAGCAAATGGTTACTCCACTGGTAATACGAAATTTTATTGACTAGTAACTTAGCTAACAAGTGACAGCTAGACCTGATCAGTGATCTAACGCGGGTTGCAAAAGATCCAAGCAGATGGGATAAAATTTCTCCTGAAGATTATTTCAAGAGTTCAACATTTTCATCTCCCTTCTTTTTAAAGCACCTTTCCTTTTAAAGTAACTTAGATGAAATGACTAATGTCCAGATTTAAGTAGCCACTAAAATTTCAGGTAGGTAACAAAAAGTCCTTAATCAAGGTTTAGGGCCTTATTACAAAGAATGACATTTGAAATGACAACCCCAACCTAACCACTTCCAAATCTGAAGTCTTTCTAACATTTCGCATCTAAAGCTTGACATCATGTTCCAGAACACTCTACGATCTCATTCCAGTCATTCTGACAACTTCACTTAACACTGTAATCGCAGAAACACCCAAAAACACTTCACGGATCATCTCAGAATACTCATAGATTCTTTATGTATACACACCATCCCGAAAGTGTCTTGACAAATCTAAAGTTCAGCGATACCTTGCAAGCACAGACATTTAGTTAACTCTGCTCACATGTAGCAGAACCATCTAGAAAACTTAAAGGAGGCTGAGACCAAGGCAACAGTCCAGGAGAATCAGCTCGGAAAGATTTAAGCAGTCACCCTACCTGTGATTTGCAAGAGAGCAACCTGTGACATCGGGCACCCGATACTCACTTGAACTCCTCCATGAAGGTGCCATGGTGAGCTATGTTTTGCCAAAGGCTTTTAAAAATGGTGCTAATGTGATAGCGAATGGTGAACTTGTCGTAGAACTCACTGGTGGCTCCGGTGTGCTCAACATCTAGAGAAGAGAGAAGGATGAGTACTGCCTTACCTTTCTAAAAGCAGTTACTGCGTCCACGATGTTACTGACTGCGTACAAATCTGTAAATTTAGAGATGTGATAAGATCGTGCACCTATCTCTCACATGTAAGGCAGGACAGAAATCAGGAGGTGGTTCTGAAGACACAAGCTTCACAGTGAGGGTCCGGCAATGACACAACACCAAATGAATTGCTCGGAAAGCGGCTGGCCTCATTGGCACAGCACCCACTCGCCAATGACCAGAAAAAAAAAAACTGGGCTGAATTTTCTTAAGGTCCACATGCTTATTAAATGTGACTATAGGCCGGGCGCCTGGGTGGCTCAGTCAGTTAAGCGACTGCCTTCGGCTCAGGTCATGATCCTGGAGTCCCGGGATCGAGTCCCGCATCGGGCTCCCTGCTCGGCGGGGAGTCTGGTTCTCCCTCTGACCCTCTTCCCTCTCGTGCTCTCTATCTCTCATTCTCTCTCTCTCAAATAAATAAGTAAAATCTTAAAATAAATAAATAAATAAATAAATGTGACTATAGGCCTACCTCATTTTATTGCGCTTCGTAAATACTGTGGGGTTTTTTTTTTTTTTTTTTTTAGTTACAAATTAAAGGTTTGTGGCAACTGTGCATCGAGCAGGTCTATCAGCTCCATTTTCCCAACAGCATTTGCTCACTTCGTGTCTCTGTGTCACTTCTTGGTAATTCCCACAATATTTCAAACTTGTTCATTATTATTATATTTGTTATGGTGATCTGTGATCAGGGATTATGACTCACTGAAAGCTCAGATGATAGCATTTTTAGCAATAAAATATTTTTATTTTTATTTGTTTATATAAAAGACTTTATTTGGGGTGCCTGGGTGGCTCAGTCGTTAGGCGTCTGCCTTCGGCTCAGGTCATGGTCCCAGGGTCCTGGGATCGAGCCCCGCATCGGGCTCCCTGCTCAGCGGGAAGCCTGCTTCTCCCTCTCCCACTCCCCCTGCTTGTGTTCCCTCTCTCGCTGTGTCTCTCTCTGCCAAATAAATAAAATCTTTAAAAAAAAAATTAAATTAAAAAAATAAAAGATTTTATTTGAGAGTGAGCGAGCAAGAGAGCACGAGTCGGGGGAGGAGGAGAGGGAGAAGCAGACTCCCTGCTGAGCAGGGAGCCTGACGGGGGCTCGATCCTGGGACTCCAGGACCATGACCTGAGCCGAAGACAGATGCTGAACTGACTGAGCCACCCAGGTGCCCCAATTTTAAATTAAGATATATACATTGGTTTTTTAGACATAATGATAATGTACACTTAACAGACTACAGTATAGTGTAAACGTAACTTTCATATGCACTGGGAAAGGAAAAAATCCACCTGACTTCCTTTATTCTCGTATTTGCTTTATTACAGTGGTCTGGATCTGAATCTGCAATAGCTCCGAAATATGCCTTATTATTTTAAGTACTTTTGTACAATTAACATTTTCAAACATGTACCCAAGTAGAGAAAAGCTTAGTAAAATCCTATGTACTCATCACTCATTTACCAATTACCAACATCCGTGTACTATTATTAAAATGGAACAAAGATCAAACTTAGTTATCCAAAAGACAAACAGCTTAAGCATGAGAAGTTCCTGAGTTTATCACAAGTTTTAAAAAGAGGGAAAGTTGTCAGGTAAAGACAATAAGGCTCAAGAAAAAGATAAAAAATGTAAGTTAAAATAAGATACCATTTTTACCTATCAACTTAGCAGATTATTACAAAAATGACAAAACTGCTTGCGAGAATCTGGGCGGGAGGTACCTTCTCACTGCTGGTGAGAATGTAACAGTGACACAACCTCTTGAAGGCAATGTGACAACTTGTATCACAAGCCATCAACGAGCCCATCTCCCTGACCCACCAATTCTATTCCAGAAAACACACGCAGGCAGGTTCAAAGACTGATCTCCCAGGATACTCTCTACAGTACTATTTATATTAGAGAAAAAATGTAAATGCAAATGCCCAACAGAGAACATGAGAAAATACTTGTGATATACGAAGTGAAAAACACAGGTTACCAAATGGGGTCAATCATATTTAAAACCACACACCCACACACACACACACACACACACCTATATATATATATATATATATATATATATGATACAGAGCAAAATGTTAACAGAGATTCTGAAGGCAGAGACTATCAATAACTTTTATTTTCTTCTTGGTATTTCCTGTATTTTGCAAAAGAGCATATTTTTTTGTGGCAAGAAAGGTTATTTAAAAATGAGAGGGGTAAGGTAATTAGCACTTATCATACGAAGACCTGAAAGCACTTATGCATATTCATTAGGTCAATCTTTCTTTACAATGAACTAAGTGTCATTTTGTTAACTGTAGAAAAGTGTGAACTGGGACGTCTGGGTGGCCCAGTCGGTTAAGCGTCTGACTCCTGGTTTCGCCTCAGGTCATGATCTCAAGGGTGGTGAGATTGAGTCCTGCATCAGGCTCTGCACTCACTGCGGAGTCTGCTTGAAGATTCTCTCCCTCTGCCCCTCTCCCTGCTCATCAGCGCTCTTTCACTCTCTCAAATAAATAAATAAATCTTTATTTTAAAAAAGTGTGAACTAAAGTGTGGAGAGCTGATCTAAAGAGTCTACTTGAGAAAGACGCTGGGGGGCTGATACAGAGCCTCTCATAGCCTCAAAATCGCCCTTAATCCCTGTACCACTTCCTGAGCACAGTAAAAGCTAAGTAATGCCAACATTTAAAAAATTTCACTCCTCATCCTCCCTCAAAACTGCAGCGGCCCGAATTCTACTTCCCAAGTCCGAGTTCTAAGAGGCCTGAAATGAACCACATCCTGGCTGGCCTTGCTCCCCTGCTGCTCACTGTGCTCCCTCCCACAGGTCTTCTTATTCACTAAGCTGCCCAGGCCTCAGGGCCTTTACACTTGCTATCCCAGTTGCCTGCCACACTGTGGCTGAGATCTTCGTCTGATTCACTCTTCCGTCTCATTTCCAATGTTACTCCAAAGTCACTGTCTCAGAGATCTTCCCTTACTGTGCTCCTTAAAGTAGCATCATGCCCTCCTCCCACACCCACCATCTGCAAGTATCTTATTTGTTGGTTCCGTTGTCTATCTCGGAACTAGAACGCCTGGCTCACAAGACCAGCGACTTTGACATCCTCACCACTAGGCCTTAGCATCAAAACCAGTGCTGACACACAGAGGAGCTTCATAAATATTTGTAGAATTAGAGACTGAATCTACTTGGGCTAATGCTGGCTTTGCTGATTCAGATCCACCTGGGGAGGAGAAGAGTCTGGAAGTAAGTCTTTGTTATCAGTGTTCTTCTAAGTTCTGAGTAGCCAGGTCGGGAAAGCTGGTCCTTAAGGAACTGATGGCTGGTACAAATAAAATCCTCTGATTTTGGAACTTAATTTTATTTTTGAGACAAAAATTTGATCTTAAGCATTTCCAAAGCTAGGATATTCTCTGGGGGTAGAAAAGAGGAGCCTGTTCCATAGGTCCATTTCTAGTTCACGTCTGAGAGTCTGTACCTGAGCCAGCAGGTGTTATTGTGGGGCTGATGCACGAGTGGGAGGGGCTGTCTTCTTCGGTGTCCCACTGGAGGGGCCCTCTGGGCACCGGTGCCCTGTGACCACAACAGTAACAGTGCAGCAGTCAGGAGCACCTGTGCTAAGGTCCACCTGCTGAAATTGCTGCCACTCACTAGCTGCTGACCTTCACCAAGCTTCTGGACCTTTCTAAGCTTCAGGTTCCTCGTTTGGAAGACAGAGATATTTATAGCCCCCACCTTGACGAGGGCTGTGCAGAATTAAGTGAAAGGATTCGTGAGGATTCGGTAAGTGGTGGCTGTTATTAGTACGGGTATCATCTCTCCAGGACTGTAGACGTGGCCCAGGGCCAGGGGGTACGCCGCTTCGTGGCAAAGGGGAAAAGAAGCCCCTCGGATCTTACTAGTGGGGCTCTGCCAGACCCAGCACTGGTCTCCCAGGAAGAGGCCCACCCCTCTGCACCCCCATGCTGAATTCCAAAGCCACAGTGACAGGCCCAGGGCACTTACCAAGTATAAAATACACTTAACCAAACATTTTTTGCTTTTAGTACTAACGGTTCATGTTTACTGCAGAATAATTAAGTTCAGGTTAATTTTTTAAAAAGAAAAAGAAATAAAACCATTTACAGTTCTACCATTCAAAACTAACCAGCTCACTGTTAGTGTTTTGGTATATGTTCCTCCACGTGGTTGTCTGTCGTACGGATGTGTACCAACATACTGAACATACTGGTTCATTACTTGACATTTTTAATGTAAATAACACAGTATTTTTCACAGCTCATATAGACCCACTTCATGGATAAACTGTGATTTACTTAATTTATCCACAGCTGGAAGAAATTTAGGCTGTTTTTAGTATTTTCACTACACTGCATTATAAATGACGCTGCAGTGAATATCATTATAAACATGCACACACATTTATAATTATCCCCACAGAACAGATTACTAGAAATTAAGTTTACATGCAGAAGGGTGAGCTGTTTGTTCAGCTGCTGTCTCTCAGGGCCCAACCCACCCTTTATACTTGGCTTTGCCAGGCTGGGGCTAGGACTCTGCAAGTTTCCCCTTGCCAGCCGGCCCTCTGCCGCGTTCGCCAATAGGGGGTGCTGCAGGAGAACTGGAAAACTACAGGACAGCAGGGACTTGGTCCCAGGCCGTAGGCGGGCTGCTCCTGCCAGCAATGGTCCTTCCTCCAACCAGCAGCAGCTACCTCTAGTCTCCAGCTCAGTCCCACAGTCGCAGAACTAGTTAGCCTGCGCTCCTCAGAGACACGGGCGGGCCGGTGTCCTTCCTCAGAGACATAGGTCCCAGTTCTGCCCCGGCCCTCATTCGAGCTGCCAGATTTTACTTACTCCAGCCTCTTCCCTGGGTTCCCCCAGCTCTGGAGACACATGATGGCTGCTTCCTGAATCCATAATCTGCCTTACGCCAAAGTTCTTATTTGCCTCTCTGTCCTCCAATATCTATGTGACCAGTTCCTTATATAGTTGCTCCTTGAACAACAACACAGGCTTGAACTGCATGGGTCCACTTACAGATTTTTTTTCAATAAATATACATACAGGACCATAAATGCATTTATTCTTCCTTATGATTTTTTTTTTTTTTTTTAAGATTTTACTTTTATTGGGCGCCTGGGTGGCTCAGTTGGTTAAGCAACTGCCTTCGGCTCAGGTCATGATCCTGGAGTCCCGGGATCGAGTCCCACATCGGGCTCCCTGCTGAGCGGGTAGTCTGCTTCTCCCTCTGAACCTCTTCTCTCTCATGCTCTCTATCTCTCATTCTCTCTCTCTCAAATAAATAAATAAAATCTTAAAAAAAAAAAAAAGATTTTACTTTTATTTATTTGAGAGACAGCAAGAGAGAGTGAGGGAGCACGAGTAGGGGCAGAGGGAGAGGGAGAAGCAGACTCCCCGGTGAGCAGGGAGCCCGATGTGGGGTTCGATCCCAGGACTCTGGGATCATGACCTGAGCTGAAGGCATCCCTCTTCCTTATGATTTTCTTAGTAACATTTTATTTCCTCTAGCTTACTTTCTCATAAGAATACAGTATGTAATACACATAACATACAAAAGATGTGTTAGTTTATGTTACTGTTTATGTTACTGATAAGGTACTACATAACAAATTCAACATTCTGGTCAATAGTAGGCTTTTAACAAACCTGGGGGAGTCAAAAGGTAAAAGTGGATTTTTGGCTGTGTGGGGGGATTCTCTAACTCCTACATTGTTCAAGGGTCAACTGTATTTAAATTCTATTAAAATAACTGGTATGGGGGCACCTGGGTGGCTCAGTCGTTGAGCGTCTGCCTTCAGCTCAGGTCATGATCCCAGGGTCCTGGGATCGAGCCCCACATGGGGCTCCCTGCTCGGCAGGGAGCCTGCTTCTCCCTCTCCCCCTGCTTGTGCTCCCTCTCTCATTGTGTCTCTCTCTGTCAAATAAATAAATAAAATCTTTAAAATAAAATAACTGGTATGTTTCTATTTTCCTTACTTGACCTTGACCGACACATAGGATATATACATTTTTAGGGCTTTTGGTGTGGACTGCCAAACTGCCTTCTGGCAAGGTTTTACCAATTTACATTCTCATAAGAGTTTCTTAGCGCTGATTCCACATACTAGCTAAGGGGGAGATGAAACAGGCATTGGCAGGTTAGAGTAGTTCTCTACAATTATGTTATTAGCACTAGGTATTCTTATCTTAAAAAATAAATAAACAGGTGAAAAGAGGTCGTACCTTATTGTTATTTTAAGAAATGCAGAGTTATCTTCACCTAAGTCTGATATGTGCAAGACCCTGAATGAGGTCGTGTCCCGTACATATGTAACTCATCATCTGGACCTGAATGGCCCTCTCTGCCAGGGAGGGAGGCCCTCCCTCCCAGGACCAAGAAATGAAAGAGGACTGGAGGGCCGAGAGGCTTTTTACCCACGAGTGTTCTCTCTGCTGTTGCCAAAGTGAGGGTGTTAACAAAACTTCAAAGTGCTTGTCTATTTGCTTTAGGTTTAAGAGGATATCCATTGGCTGGGAAGAAAAGAAACTCTTTCTCTCTCTTTCCTTCCTTTTTTTTTTTTTTTTTTGAAGTAATCGCTATACCCAACGTGGGTCTTGAACTCACAACCTAGAGATGAAGAGTCGCATGCTCTACCGATGGAGCCAGCCAGGTACCCCAGAGAAACTCTTATTAGCTGTTACAAAGCAATGGTGACAAAAGAGAAAGGAGGTAGATGGACTGTTGGAACCCTTAGTAGTGAAGAGAGAGGTGACGGCACCAGCTCCAAATGAGCAGGAGCAGGTCTTGGTCAACAGGGAAGGGATGTTTATCATTGATGGTTGTCACAAAGAGGAATCCTCAAATTTCTGTTGCTGCAGTGAACAGCAAGTGGCCGTACTCACGGACAGCCAGTGTTTCTCCCAGAGTATGGCAAGTACACTCTACTAAATGCTAAAGACACTTACTGAGTGCCCAGAATGTGCTACGTTCAACAGAAGAGAAGGCAGACAAGACATACTTCCTTTACTGCAACATGTACAAACTGGAAGGAAAATGTACCATTAGTAGAATCCTATGCCTTTACTAGCAGACAGGTCAGCAAGGTCCCAAGCTAATCAGTTGATGAAAACACATTTGTAGTTCAAAAGCCAAATTAAGCATAAAAATTTGGAATCCAATTCATCCAGAAGTGGAGGACCTCCTCACAGAAGGTCTGATGTGTTCTCTGTCTGTTCACCAATGTAGCCTAGCACCTAGAACAGTGCCTGGCTATTAACAGGCACTCAATAAATGTGTGTGGATTTAGTGAATGAGAGAAGACTCCCTGATATCCTGATTCCACTGATTTGAGTGGGGTTCAAAAATAAACATTTTTAACAAGCTCCTTGTTTTACCCACGTTCTAGAAACTCTGAGTTATACAACAGTATTATAAAAGTAGCTAAAAGTTCATCTGATTTTCAGTGGATCCTGGCACATCATCAGGGACTAGTGCGTAGAATAGTCAATGGGATATTTCCACTCCTTAGCGAAAACTAAGCAACAGTACATTCTCTGCCGGTGGTGGGGTTAGTGGGGTTAGTAGGTTATACTTGTAAGTGGCCATCAGAATATTAGCTACCAGATTTAGAGTGACTCCGTCCACTGGCTCTAGACGACCTTGCCTATCCGAATACTCTTACCTGTATAAAACTTCATCAGTGAAGGGACCAACAATTTGGTGGAGAGAGGATGGTTTTCGATCATTTCAAAAAACTTCTGGGTTCGTGGCTGAACAGCAGGGTTGGTCATAAACATGACTTCTACCAGTTTCGCCACCAGATAAGGATTTCGGATGTAGTTCTGGTTACACAACATCACAACGAGGAACATCACAATATCCTGAGTACAGGGCTCATAAAGCACCTGAGGAGAGTATCTGGAGAGAGGCAAGAAGAGCAAGAAATAAAGCTCCCAGAAACTCTCACTGGGCAGATGCTGGGGTCATCACGCAGGGAAGGGGCCAATAGGTCTAGGAGCCAAGATACTGAATTCCTTTGAACTTGCTGAGTTTCAAATGACTGTTTACTTTATTAACTAGACAGATTTTAAATCTATTGCGTCTACTGGCTGAAGCATGTTATGTTAACTTATATTATTTTAGGAAATAAACCAAAGCCATGATTAAATTATGAGGTAAGTTTCATAAAAGAGCTTTGCTACCAAAAAAGACTTAAAAAAAATTTTTTTAAAGATTTTATGTTTAAGTAATCTCTACATTCAATGCAGGGCTCAGACTCACAACCTCAAGATCAAGAGTCGCACGCTCCACTGCCTGAACCAGCCAGGCACCCCTAAAATTTTTTTCTGGTAATTATTTTAAATTAAAAAAAAAACAAAAAACTTCAAACATCAGTTATAAACTCAAACCGTTTCTTTGTAAGCTTTCTCCAATGTTATAATTGAAAAAAAATCTGGTACAAAATATAGATGTGGGTATTTCTGGCTTTTGAATGTTCACTTAGATATTTATAAACTGTTTGCTCCTTCTGTTTCTCAGAAATGCATACTCAATTATTAGAAATTCAACTCAATTTTCAGAGAGTGCATTCTTATCAGCATTGTTAATCCTGCTTCTGTCTTGAAGATATTATTGGAACTGGCTTGGTGCCATAGTTGGATTTATTTTTCCAGTCTCCAGACAGCATTCAGTTACAGCAGTTACATAAAATTTCAGGCATAAAAGGGAGGGCTGCAATATAGTTCATAATACAATATACACTCTGTATAAAAACAAATTAGAACCATGCAGTATGTCAAAGGCACTTACTGTACAATAAAAAATAAAAATTCAGCAACGTCTTCTACATAAAACTCAGGCAATGCTGCAAATACCTTGGGGACATCTGAGTTTAAAGGCAGTGTTACACTGTCAAAGAGAATAAAAGCACAAGTTACAGAACAAAATCATGGCACCCGGAACCCCCCCCCAAAAAAACCCCAACCATACAAAAAAAACCCACACAAAATCATGGCACCTGAAACTATAAAGACTATGAGACGGCCTTTACAAGTAAGTATTTTACTGGGGGAAAAACCTCCTCTAACACAAATATGGAAAAGGTACACAAGCCAGGAGACTAGAACCTGAAATGAACAGGGAAGAATGAAGACAGTGGATGTATTATGGTGTGTAGGAGATGTTTCTCCTTTTACTGCTTTTCTGTTAAGGCTAATGTAATAAAATAGGAAGGAAATAAAAGGGTCATATTTGGTCATTTTATGCAAATCAAACTGTTTCGAGGCAAAAGAGCTACATATATAACTTTAAATAATATTTTCTACTCCTGCAGAGGGCCTTCGGCCAACCTCATCAACATCAGTCGGTCCAGACATTTCATAGTAACAATAAACTAATAATAACTGGCTAGCTATTTTCCTGGACCCAGTGCTCAAACGGGCCTAATATCCTGTTACCTCCAGGTCTTAGTTTCCAATTTGTAGATTTCCTTTTCTATCACAATCTATAGCCAATTTGTAAAAGGGACCAGGTCAAAATTAAACTCATAGGTGCTGACGTTCCCTTCTTACTGTAATCACTGGGAAAACACTTACTAATATTACTACTTTTGTAGTCTATATAGGTACAACCTAGAAATTGAAGAACGGATTCTTGATAAAGTAAGGGCTTGGGTTTTAGCTCTCGACTGGAGGACAGTGGAGACAACACAGGCCACCGAGGAGAGAGGAGGTGAGGAGGAAGGGCACACTCACTCGGGATAGGCGGGGTCCAGGATGCGGAGCAGCAACTGAATGAGAAGGCCATAAAAATTCAGACATCTTCTCAGAAAGCTCTCATCAAGTAAACCAGCGTCAGCACAGGCCTTGCACCGTACCAGTTTCTGTGGAAGGAGGTATGCCCCCACCCACAGATTAGTTGGTAGCCAAGTGCCTGCAGCGTTGACTGGCCAGGGAATGGGCCAGGAGATGGGAATTCGAGGTTCTAGGCTTTTCGCAAGCTTCATCTCTAACTAGCTATAATGTGCTGGTCATGTCCCAAAAGCTTTCCTTGTTCTGAGAAAAACAAAAGTACGCTGTGCAAACCACTGGGCGGAAAGCCGAGCACATAGTTAAGGCTCAAAAAGGAAGTTAATACTGTCATATTTAAATAGCTTGACTGGGGGACAGGGTTGATGGGCGTCAGAGATGGTTAGTGGAAACAAGCCAGACAAATCTGCACCTGAATTCCAGGTCACCATTTATGAACTGCCCCTGGACAAAATGCTTGTCCACTGAGGGTCCCACACCCACCTCAGAGGACAGCTGTGAGAAGGAAACCCAGGCATGCATGCGCATTGGTGCATCTGTTTAAAGTTTCCAGGCACCTTCTAACATGTCTGTGGGGTGTTCACGGGGGTCTACAGACGCCAGGAAAGGGCCCATGGTGTATTCTGCATCTCAGCAGGTCTAGTATATTAGTAAATAAAACAAATCTATCTTAACTTGCACCAGAAATCGAAGTTAAAATGTCCATATATCCTCCTACTAATTGAGAGAAAGCAGAACCTGCTAATATTCAGTTTTATAATTTGAACAAAAACATAAGATAAATGCATAAATAAGCTGTCTACACTCCATTGTACAGCCTTTGCCCAGCATCCGTCTTCAGCTGTGTCTCACCAGCGGAAATCTTCCTCCTGTCTACAGTTAGGTTCCGTGCAGTGGATCATTTTTAACAACAAATGAAGAAGGAGGGATTGGGGGGGGCTCTTCCCACTGCCACAAATCCACTCAGCCACACATCGTGAAAATGCATGCCTGGCACACTGGGTCACGGGCTGGGAGGCAGTGGAGGGGAAGAACCTTGCAGAAAGGTTAAGAAAGGCAGGTGACGTCAAACTGAGGATGATAAAACCAGGAAGAATTCATGTTGTCACTGGCATAAGCACTTGCAGATTCTGTCTTGATTTAAATACTGTATGTAGACCCAGGTGAGATCATCAACTAGTTTGAAAGTGCCGTGTTTTATCTTTAGGGGAAAGAACAATGAAGGATAAAGGACGCTGCGTGGCTCACTCAAGGCACACATTCTGGTAGGAAAATCACTACAGAGAGGCTGATCTAGAATGACTGAAATTCACTTTACAAACCTTAAGCTGAGTTTTGCAACGCTTCAGCATTTCGCGGTGTCTAGTTGCCAGTGGGGAATCTTTCCATTGGCTTTCATTATTTTTCAAATCTTCCACAGTTCTGAAACCAAGGACTAATGGTCAAACACAAGAAGACACACGGATCCATCTTATCTATTCATTTTGACCATTTCAAGGACTGTCAGATACACATTTCCTCCCACATTTTAGCATCTTTAAAGTCAGAATATTTCTTATCATTCATTGGCAGGACTTTTCTTTCTTATTGGTTCCTAATATAATGAATGTCTTGAAATTGATGGTACTTTAGATTTAATGACATATAATAATTTCTTTTGGAAAGGAATACATTGTTCCCTTATTTTCCTGGGAGGGAGAAAAAGAAGTCCCTTGCGAAAATTCCTGGTTACTAGACCTGGTCAGTTACCCCAAACAGAAGGCTGGTTCAACAACGGCAGCTCCTTTTCCTCTCCTGCCACCGCTCCCTCTGTGTGGAATGCTCTCCTCTGAGGTTATCTTTGCAGCTTGCCCCTTCACTTCCTTCGGATGCCCGCCCAAATATCACCTGCCAGTCAGGCCATATCCTGCCTATCTTAGAGACTGGCTCACTAAATGCTGTATCAACCCCTCTCTATCAAGATAATGTACAGAAAACTGGAGGTTGGTAAATTCTTTGAACCTACACTTTCCCAGACTCCCTTGCTGCCAGCGAATCTGCCCATGACCTAGCTTCCATCAAGAGGTGAACCCTCGCTGGAGGCAGAAGTGAATCCTGGGGAGTGGCAGCCACACAGTGTTTCTGGAAGCATAGCAGTGGAGGAGTTCTGCCAGAAGCACTGACAGAGGCTCTACAGTCAGGATGAACCCTGAGGCGGCTTCCTGCCAGGTCAGGTTCAAAGGTGAACTCCAGGTACATACCTCACTCCCCAAAACTGATGATGATCTGACAGACTGACTGCAGCCACTAAGACTGCTGCGTGACACCTGTTTCTGCAGCTTATGAGGGGGAGATGGCACTGGAAGATGCTCAGAAGCCCCGTGGGATGGCAGACTGGCCTGACGGCCCAGCTCTAGGGAGCCACATGGGACAGGCTCATGGAACAATGAGGCAAAGTGCAAGGCAGCCTTGTTCGGCTTCCAACTGGGTGGTCTTGACAACAAATGTGGCAACATATTTGTTTTTCCAAACAAACTGCTGTAGATTTCAAAGCACTTGGACTTATTCTCTTCCACATCCTTGGCTCCTTACCATGGAAGGTGACAGATCTATAGGTTTTATGCGCTGGGACGTGAGCGACTTTGGGACATCGTTATTCTACCTACCACATTTGATGTGACAGAATGTGGGAGTGTGTGCGGAATGGATCCTGGAGACGCTTGATCAGCAAGAGTGAACCATGCAAAGATCCTTCTATGTAGAACTAAATTCACTGACATGATTACACCTACCAGAGATCCTGGATTCAAGATTATCATGAGTAGCTGGGAGGGGTCTGAAATGTGCCACCAGCTAGTGGACTCAAACTTGGAATTTGACAGTGACCTATGCTGAGTGAAGCTGAGCTATCTCGTATCCCTTGACAGAATTCACAGGAAGGAATCTAAAGTTTAAGAAGCTGAGAATATTAATATATAATACTATGTGTGACTGGCTCAGACACACCTTCCTCCTGAAACCTGCCCTCTCGCCCTCCCCATATCCTAGAGGACATCTCTCGTATCACAGCACTGGAAAGTACACAGGTGAGGGGAACACTGACATCTTTGAGAAGCACAACAGTGACCGTCCACAGTAGGGTGGGAGTGAAAGCAGTCGATGGTACCATTGAAATGGATCATCCAAAGTCAGTAAAAGAGATGGGATCCCAGGGCTCCAAGATGAAGAAACAGACAAATTCACAATCACAGTTTGAAACTGTATAAGCCTCTCTCAATAATTGATATTATAGGGCTCCTGGGTGGCTCAGTTGGTTAAGCAACTGCCTTCGGCTCAGGTCATGATCCTGGAGTCCCGGGATCGAGTCCCGCATCAGGCTCCCTGCTCAGCAGGGAGTCTGCTTCTCCCTCTGACCCTCCCCCCCTCATGCTCTCTCATTCTCTCTCTCTCAAATAAATAAAATCTTTAAAAAAATTGATATTATAAGCTGATAAAATGAGCAGAAAGAGAAAAATCTGAATAAAAGATGAACAAACCTGACATAACCGACAAAATATGAGACTGTGCAATAAGCAACACAGAAAGCACATTCTTTTCAGGTCTCTATGGAACATTTACTCAAGTACATGTTAGGCTCTAAAGCAAATTTCAGTAAAGTTCAAAGGACACAAATCAGAACATGTCCTCTGACCACAATGAAATTTAGCTAGGAATCAATAACAAAAGATAAACAGACAAATTCCCCAAGAATCCGGAATTTCAACAGTATATTTTTCAATAACCCACAGGTCAAATAAGAAATAATAAAAATTAGAAAATATTTTGAACTGAACAGTAAAATGTGACAAATGTCACAAAAATGAGGGATGCAGCTAAAACCAGGCTTCGAGGGAAAGAAACAGCCTCAAATGCATATATAAGGGCTGAAAATGAATGATATAAGTACCAATCTTAAGAGGCAAGAGAAATATCAACAAAAAAGCAAATTTAAACTAAGAGAAAGTAGAAGGAAATAATGAAGACCCTGCAGACATTAAAATGATAAAAAGAAGATATTATGAACAACTTTAGGCCTAGAAATTTTGAAACTTTAGATGTCATAGAAATACACAAGATGAAATAAAAGTGTAAATAATCATATATCTAATAATTGACTAAAACACGTAATTAAAAGCTTTCCTGTAACGAAAAAACTAAGCCCAGACAGCTTCATCAATGAAGGTTTCCAAACATTTAAGAAAGAAATAACAAAACTGTTATATAATAAACTCTTCCAAAGAACATAAAAAGAGAGAATACTCTCCAACTCATTCTATATGGCAAGTATGATACCAAAATCTGAGGAAGACTTAACAAGAAATGAAAATTATAGGTCAATCTTTCTTTTGAACACAGACTCAAAAATCCTAATCAGAGTATAGCAAACTGAATATCCAATGTTATAAAAGCAGTAACATAAAAGCTGAGTTTATTCCAGGAATGAAAGACTAGTTTATTTTTTTTTTTATTTTTTTATTTTTTAAAGATTTTATTTATTTATTTGACAGAGAGAGACACAGCGAGAGAGGGAACACAAGCAGGGGGAGTGGGAGAGGGAGAAGCAGGCTTCCCGCCGAGCAGGGAGCCTGATGCGGGGCTCGATCCCAGGACCCTGGGACCATGACCTGAGCTGAAAGCAGACGCTTAATGACTGAGCCACCCAGGCGCCCCTGAAAGACTAGTTTAATATCAGAAAACTAGTTGACATAAAAAAAAAAAACCAAAACAAAACCTAGTTGATGTAATTCAACCACATTAACAGAATAGAGGAGAAAAAAATTTCTGATCTCTTTAACAGCTGTGGAAAAAGCATTTAATAAAATGCAACTTCTGTTAGGAATAAAACTTTTAAAATACTAGGAATAATGGGAAATGTTCTTCATCTGGTTAACAGAAGTTATAAAAAACAACTTTCCCCCACTATTGAACTGGAAACAATAGAAAAATTTCAAGAAAGCTGCCTCTGTTCAAGATTGTACTAAAAATTATAGCCAGGATACTAAGGCACAGAAAAAAGTATAAGAAAGAAAACTGACTTCATTTACCAACAACGCGAATATGTGTAGAAAGAAAATCTTAAAAGCATCTCCAGAGTAACCATCGGCATTAACAGGTGATTAGCAAGATAGATGCACAGAGATAGAGTTACAGATGCAGATATGACATCCTTTTTCTCATAATCAGACGTGTCTGCAGGTCCTGGACCAAATGCAGTGGCCACACTATGTGTTTGCTTCCTGTTCCTGTGATTTGTTTATTTGGAGGTGTTGGTACACGGGGAAAAATGCTTAGACTAAGAAACACAACAATGGTGCATTGGAAACTCAGGCTACTATCCAGCCATTGTGGGTTCCTTATGCCACCAGACAACATGCAAAAAAGGGAATTCCATGATGGCAGGAGTAAATGATCTTGATTATCAAGGGAAACTAGAGTTACTGTTTCAGAGTCCAGGGAAGGAGGAGAATGTCTGGAACCTGGGAGATCCTTTAAAGTGGCTCCTGGTCAATACCATGCTTGGGGGAAAAAGTTAATGAAAGTTTAGTAACCACATACTGAGGGATTGAGAACTCTCAGAAACCAAGGTTGGGTCTCTCTGCCACATAAAGAACTCTGGTCAACTGAGGATCGTGGACAGGGAAGCAGAAGCAGATGGTTCACTGCAACATATTTACTCCCCACATTCGAATCCACTGGTCACAATGGAACTGCGTGCTTTGTGAGAACAAGTGGTACCTCAGGCAATCCCAGGACATGGAGTCACACACATACCTATTGAGCTCCCGGATGGCCCGGAGTCTGCGGATGTAGCGACGGCAGCTTGGCAGAATGGAGAGGTGGTGGGCGTGCAGGGTAAGAAAAAAGCATTCTGTAGGGAATTTCGGCTCAGAAAATGGAGGCTGATCTCCATCTAGGAAAAATAACATGATTCCCTAAAGTCTCTAACAAGACTAAATCAGGAGAAAAAAGCACAATTAAGACAGAATTACACTTGAGTTTTCAAGAAGTTTAAGCATGTTTTTTAAAAAATATAGACCAGGGGTGCCTGGGTGGCTCCAGTCGGTTAAGCATCTGCCTTCGGCTCAGGTCATGATCCCAGGGTCCTGGGATCGAGCCCCATGTCGGGCTCCCTGCATGGGGGGGAGCCTGCTTCTCCCTCTCCCTCTGCTGCTCCCCCTGCTTGTGTGCTCTCTCTCTCTCTTTCAAATAAATAAATAAAATCTTAAAAAAAAATTAAAAAAATATAGACTAGTTATGTCCTGCTTATATGTTCTGTCCTGCTTAGGACAGAATTCCTATGAGCTCCATTTAATGACTAGGTATCCTGCCCCATCTGATTAAGTGTTTGCACAGATGTACATCAACAATCTGTTGTTATGTGCCTTCTTGATGTGTTTTATATAACCATTCCTATAATTCAACACAGGTCATGAAACATCACCTTGAATCTCAAAATGTTATTAGACTATGTTAATAATCTACAGATTCCAAAGACATTTCCCTACTGTGGGCATGTTTGTCATTTTTTTTTTTTTAAAGATTTTATTTATTTATTTGAGAGAGAGAGAGAATGAGAGAGAAAGCACATGAGATAGGGGGAGGGTCAGAAGGAGAAGCAGACTCCCTGCCGAGCAGGGAGCCCGATGTGGAACTTGATCCAGGGACTCCAGGATCATGACCTGAGCTGAAGGCAGTCGCTTAACCAACTGAGCCACCCAGGCGCCCCATGTTTGTCATTTTTAATTTTTCTCTATTATAAACAGTGCTTGGAAGATCTATGTATGAAAAATTACTCCCTCACCCCACTCCCAGCACTGGAAGCATGTTCTAAAATGTAAAATTATTGAGAATGACAGTGTTACAATTTTGGTATAAATCAGAATTCATTAAATAAATTGAGTAAATGCCACCTATTTCCTCACAAACTTATATTCTATCGTATCACTTTGTTTTTGGATTATCTATTTATTTTTAAATATTTTATTTTTAAGTAATCCCTGTGCCCAACGTGGGGCTCAAACTCACAACCCTGAGATCAAGAATCACAAGCTCCACTGACTGAGCCAGCCAGACATCCCTGTTTTTGGATAATTTACAGATATACAACAGTAACCTGAATTTCCAATTTGTAGCTAATTCCTATTAGTATGTATATTTTTTCCAACAAGTATATTTTATTTTCTATGATATATACTGCCTACATTTCTTTCCCCAAAATAAAACTATCTCTTGGTAGAATTTAGTCTGGGCCTTATACATTTATAACAGTTCTACATTTTGAAAGGCATGATTCTATCAAACGTATGACATATATTTTGCCCCATTTTTAAGTTTTACATATTCATTTTGTCTCATTCTACAAAAAGCATATTTATCTATTAAGATACTGTATATAACATATTGTCTCTGATGATATGCTTTGTTTCTTAAACCATTATAAATTTCTGTTTCCTCCATGGGTGGGTCAAATCCTGTTTGTTTTTTTCATGTTTTATGTTTATTTTATAGTGTGTGTGCGTGTGTGTATACATATATATATTTTTTAAATGTTTAACCCTTTGATTCTTCTGGAATCCATGATATGATTCCAAGATGACACCAGTGACTAATTCAAATCACAGTAATCAAATAATAACTTTATTGTTCATCAGATACTTAGTTCTTATTATAGTTTACATGTTTCTCTGGAATGTGTGCACATATCTGATTATGATACTGACAGGTAAGCATGGAATCTCTATCCTATTCCATGAATGATTTTATAATATTTAAAAAATAAATGCCATAGGGTTTTGACGTCTGTTATTAACATGTTTTATAACACAGAAAGGAAAAAGATCAACAACTGTTACACCTTTAAAATATTCATATTTTAAATACCAACACAGCATCAAGATCTATGAAATATTTCATGAGAACTTTAATTGGTATATAAAATCTCTATCATAAGTCTCTGCTATTGTTTTTATTATATTTCTTTTTGGGTTTTGTTTTGTTTTTGTTTTGTTTTACTCTAAGTGGGTATATTTCCTTCCACTTGTTCTATGTATCTATTTGACTTTGGCCAAGCCAAATAAGAACATTTTTACTGTGTTAATTTTTATTGTGTATCTCTGGCTCATAAATTCATTTTCTGGAGAGGAAACAACAATTTGTGAGTAATCACTAGCATCCAAATAAAATAAATTTACAAGAAGTTTTTAAATAAAAGGGCAGCGTTTTAATGACCTCACAATGAGCAATGTCACTCACAGAGTTCAGCCAGCCAGTCATTCACGTCCTCCATCGTCGCGTTCACTCTCGTCTCGTCATTAGGAAGAGTAATCCGACACCTTGGGTGGAATATATATGTGGGATCCACCGTCTCTAACTTGATCTTTGTACTTAGCTGCTGCAGCACCCAAAGGAAATTCAGCATGAATCCATCTGTAGATACCAATCTATCATCTGTCTGTAGAATATGAAAAAAAGGTATTTAAAATAATGATTTAAATGGAAATTTTGGCACAACTTTGTAAGGAAGGAAACCAGACATTCATCCCAAAGTCAGTGAGAGGACATATATCATCACCATTGTCATTTTATCAGCAGGTGCTCTTTGTGGAGTATTAATCCTGTGTGAAGCATTTTATACATTCACTGAATCTTCAGAAGAGCCCTTGGAAGTCAGTGATACTGCTATTCACATTTCATAGCGGGGGAAACTAAGGCTCAGAGAGTTAAATGACATGCTTAAGATCTTCAAAATTAATTAAGGTAGAAACACAATAAATGTTCCTTCCTTTCTCTTCTTTATTCCCCCTCAAGAGATTCAAAACCCTAGTTTCACTCAGTACCGTTTGACTAACAGTTTCTCTGGCTGACATCATTAGTGAAGTCCTGTATTAACAACGTAACAATTATTAATAACGGTAGTTAACAACAGGCACTGTTCTAACAGCCTTACGGATAGTAAACCCACAGTTAGGAACCATTATTATCCCCATTTAGCACTTAGGAAACTGAGGCACAGAGAAATAAATGTCTAAGGTCCCACCACAGCAGGAAACCCAGGTAGTCTCATGCAGGCCATACTCTTCTCTAGACTTTTTTTCTTCTTCTCAGTAGAAATGTCACATCATTCCATCATTACTTATTAATAATATAGGAAGGATGCCCTTTTAACTTCTCTACCCTTGCACAGTAGTCCAGGCCACCAGGCTCCTCACCAGATCTGATTCACTTATAACCTTATAACTGGTCTCCTCGGGTCTGCTTCTGTCCCTCCTCCCACTTTAGTTCATTTTCCACACAGCACATTTGGTGGTTTCCTTGCTGAAAAACCTCCAGGGGCGTCCCATTACAGTTCTTACCACGTCAGCCCCAGCCTGATGGAGCCTCTGCCCGCCCTGCTAGCCCATGACCCGCCATTCTCCTTCCTGTACGCTATTCTCCAGCCACTGGAAGTCTGCATGTGGGGCTTGTTCCAAAGTTAGATCATTCCCACCTTGGTGCCTTACACAGGTCTAGAAAATTCTCTTTCCAGCCTTGTAATGGCTGACTTTCACATCAGCCCGGTCTCTGATGAAACGTCACCTCCTTAAAGGTGTCTTCCCTACCACTGATCGAAACTCCCATACCTTCCTTCTGGTACCTCCATGGTTATTCCTGTGTCCTCTACCTTGCTTTATTTGCTTCACAGATTCTACAACTGCCTGAAATAATATATTTATATCCCTACTCATTGAGCCTATGGAACATAAGCTGCACAAAGGTAGGAAGTTTTACTATCCTGCTCAATACCATGTCACCATTTCCTAGAACAATGCCTGGTAGATACTGAGTGAAGACAAGTTAGATGAATGAATTTAGCGAATCAATAAAAGTGGTCTTTATGAATCCTACCTGCATCTGTGCTTTCTTCATGTTGGCATTGACGACAGCTGCCATGTAACTAAGAGCAGCCTCACGGGTCTCACCGTTTAACAGAATACTATGCAGAATCTTGAATAGCTCTTGCTGGAATTTATTTTAGAAAGGAAGAAAAGAAATTAAGACTTGACTTTAAAAAAATGATTCCTTTTGACCTCAAGAAGAGCTGGGCTTCTTCCCCCTTTCTCTCCTCTCCTTCCGCTCATTTTAAGAGAACCTGACTACAAGAGGAACAGAAGTGTCCAAATTCAACTGTGTCAAGACAATTCGCGTGAAAGCAGATGGTGGGCTGGAGGAGGCAAGTAGTTAAGAGTTTTAATAAGATAGCCTTTGCTATTGCCTTTTAGGGACAGGATCAAAATTACCTTAATTATGCTATCGTTAGCCTCTAATTTTGCTGCCGAAAAATCTCAGAACTGAAGACATACTAATCTACACTTGAGACACACGAGTCATCAAGGAGTACGTGCAAACTAACAGCGCTCGTTCACTCTCGTGTTTTAAAGGCCTATGAGCAGGCTGGAGAGAGAGCGTGGCCACTAACCTCAGAACCAGTCCCCAGTGATGCCACATACTACTGTTGTGGCAGTTATTACTCAAGACACTGGTTACTTATATACAGCCTCTCTGTCACTTGTCCTTTGAATTCATTTTCCAAACACCTACCCTTCCCAGCTCCAAGTAATGCTGCAGTGATTGGCTGACCACGCGAGTGTTCTCCAGGGTAATGGCAGGCCCTGAGAAATATTTTTCAACCACCTTAGCCTGGGAAAAGAAGGGAAAAATTCCATCGATATATGCACATTTAGGAAGGAATCTGAACATCAGAGCAGCAAAGTACAAATGGCCACTGTACTTACATCATCTTCTGCAAAGACTGAGAAGCTGAAGAAAGCCCCCAAATAGGAGAGTCTCTGCAGCTCCCGCCCAGAGCCAGGGCTTAAGGATTTAGGCAACCACAATGGCAAAGAAGCCACCTATGCAAAGAATGGAAGAGGCAAGTCAAGCTGCTACGTCGGCAAGTCAGGGGAAAATGTAATGAACGGAATTCTTAACAGCTAACCTGTCCAGCTGGGTCCCAGCCTCCGGTACCACGGCTGACAGTTAACACACAAAAATCCAAAGCTCACAAACGTGCTAGGATCCCTGTTGGTATTTTCTCATCTCATATGGAGGCAGAAAAGCCTCCAACTCCTCTACATTTTCACAGGATAGTCTTTTGATTTTTATGTTTCGAGAAGCTCTTTTATAGAGTTCAGATGAACTATTTACACTATCAAAGGACTCAGGTAAATTTTTCCATAGGATTTGTTTTCCTCATTGCACGATACTTATACAAAAATCACGGAAGAAAGTAAATAACTTCATCCCAGGCAGTAACATATAGGGTTAAACAATTTAACTATTGAGAGCCACCCAGACATGTTACCTACATCTAATCTAAATGTCCTCTAAGAGAATTTTTTTTTTTCCATATAATGTTACTTAAGGGATATCTTCAGAGTTACACGTCCATTGAACATGTGCAAGTCCATCAGGGAGGCACTCACCAAATTGCACACAGGGTGTGTCTTCCCAAACTTGGTTTCACAAAGCTCACCTAAAGCCTAGAAATAAGATCAGAAAGTGTCATTTTTTTAAAAAAGATTTATTTATTTGAGACAGAGAGAGAACAAGCAGGGGGGAGGGGCAGAGGGAGAGGGAGAAGCAGACTCCTTGCTGAGCAGGGAGCCCCATGCAGGGCTCGATCCCACGACCCCGGGATCGTGACCTGAGCCGAAGACAGATGCTTCACCGACTGAGACACCCAGGCGCCCCGCAGAAAAGTGTCATTTAAATGTATTCCATCTTAAACTGAATGCCATGTGTAGTATCAAGGAACAGCTCTAATGCTGCTTTAAATACATCTGCATTCCTTCCAAAACACTAAGAGCTTCACTGTTTTTCTGATGAATAAGCTAATACCTGCATGTTGTAAAAAACTTCAGATAAAACAGAAATACAAAATGAAACTAAGAATCACTCATACACTTTACCCGAAGAGATTAACCTCTATTGATATCTTAGTTAACAGCTTTCCAGCCATAATTTTTGTGCCTATACACATTGAAATAAATGTGTATATTTTTATAAAAAGTGATTTTTTCACTTAACATCTTTCCATGTCAAAAAAAAAAAAAGATATGCTTCATAAACTTGAGATGGCTAGTCTTGCCAGTGCTAAATAGGACTATAAATCATTACCATCTAATAAGCTACCAAATTCAGAACATATTTAAAAGCATTAGTTGGCTTCGAGATCTCGGATATTTTTGAGAACTCCAACATTTTCCTTTGGAGCTGCAATCATTCTCACATTAGAGAATCAGGAAAAGTAGATTTTAGGGACATTAACAGTTTAACATAGCTGGCGTATTCCAGCCAAACACTATTTTAACAGTGAGCTTCATTTCCTGTGATTTGAACATGGCTACCAAAGTTCCCGAGCCAGCCAGCGGAAGCTGCTTCTGAGGCAATGCATGTAGGTAGGCACTGACAGGTCTCTGAGGTGCCAGTGAGAAGGAAAAGCTCTCGCTGCAGAGGGCAGGGGTTCCCAAACGGTGCTGCGCATTAGGATCACCAGGGGAGGTGGAAAAACCCAGCGCCAGGCCCCATCCTCACCATACCCGCGGCCAGCGGAATCACAACGTGTGGGAGCCAGGTACCGGGTGTTTTTTAAAGATCCCCAGGTGATGCCAGGGCATGGCAACCTTGGGAGGCACGGAGCCAGAGAACAATCACAATTGTTTCTGATTGCAGCTCCAGTGGTCTTCCTCTTCCTGCTCCCATTGTCCTTCCTCACACAGCGCTCTCTCGGCTGTACAAGCATCAATAATGGTATAAAACAAAACTATTGTCTGTCATAATGGAGGCCTTTGTCTTTTGAGCACGAAGAACATTTTGTTGATATCTGACACTGAACGCTCCTTACTGAGACATCGAGCCAGTTCAGACCGCAACGGAAAAGCTAACCATTCTGTGAAGGAACATTTACATCATCCACTGAGAATAATGTGCACTCGAATATTTCATCACTGGACTCAAACAATCAGATGGTTTTGCTTCCTTTTATCTGGCACAGACAGAATTATGCATAAGGATTAACAGAATTTTATTTGGAACCCAAATGGCATGGGCAGTAGAAGGAGCCCTGACACAAATCCATTCAAAGTTATTTTAAAAAGAATTGCTATTTCGCCTTCTAATTTCCCACAGTATCTTTGCCTCTTAGCTCCATTTTGATTGATTAAAATAGAGACATGCATCCTTCATGTACACCCCTGTGTTATCATTTATCATGCTGTGATTATCTGCGCTGTTGCAGACTTGAGTTTTGCAGTGGGTCAGGAGCAACTTGTAGAGAGGTGCCTTGTCTAGTTAGCCCCAGTGTCTGGCACAGAATCTGGTCCTCAGTGATACTGACTTAATGGTAAGACGGAATTAAGTCAGTAGAATGAGTACAAGGAACAACTGTAGTAAAAAGATCAATTTAACCAGAGCCTCAATTTATAGGACTGTATTTATTCACAGAGTTAGTGAATTTTGTATTTTGATATTTTTTCCTTCACATCCTAGAGTGAAAAATATTTAGTCATATGTCAGAGTATTTTTCTCCCCAAATTTCCAAGAAGCCAATTCACAAAGAAAAGGGTCTTTTCTTTTCTTTCTGGTTCCAGTGTGTTCACAGCAATCAGGACCCTCCGTGAGAGTCTAGGGGGAAGTCTGCCCACAATTTACGCTTGCTGTAGGTGCCTGAAAGAGCTAAGCAGGTCTGTTTCCCATAGGAAGCTTAAAGGAAATGGGGAAGGGAAACAAGAAAACTACAATGAGATTTTTCTGTCACTGCATAAAGCTGGGTTACTTTTCCTAGTAAAACTATGCCTTTTTACTTGCATTTGTAATAGTTCTTTTTCTTTTTTTTTAAATAACAAAACTGCATTCCAATCATGGTATGCCTGTTGCCAGGAAGATCAGAAGGATAGACCAAGAGCCAACATTTTCGTAAGCTACACAGTCAGGTGAAGTGTATTTTAGGGCCTACGTCACTGACTCCTGCCAAGGGCTCGCGTGTGCGGATTATGTCCTAGGCCGCTACCTCCCTCTCTTCACTGATACATCTCACTGCACACCAAACACTGCATGGCCAACAAAATGCTTTCAGGTTTTAAGTGTGAAAACAAGGTTGATCACCTGAAAGAAAAGTGTGTGTTACAATCATCTGGAAGAAAGTGTCTGGTGAATGGCTTAAAGAAAACGAAGAGAGGTTTACCATGAGGGGGTACTTAAAGTAGTCACTATCGAGGGAGCACTCTTTGGCAGCGAGAGCCAGGCCTTGTAAAATGGGGATAAAGATCTGTAAGAAAAAAGAAATTGGAAATATAAGCTTAGGAAAAATTAAGAACAGGAGGCATGTTAAAATAAAGTGCTGAATCTGAATGTCTAAGCATTTCCACCTTCCCCAAGGAAAAGCTGTTTTGTTTATAAAGGAGTCTAGTAGCCAGCCACGGAGTGTGGCTCTGTCCTCCAACGAGGCTGACCATAACGTGACATGGCTGAATTTTCCAGAGGTAACAGGATCTGGTGAGCCCTAATTCTCTGGCAAGACTCCGAGTGACTCAATAGAAACTCACAATTTTTGAGCCTGCTACAGGAGTCCCCAGGGGTCCTCACTCTAGTCAACTGAATTCTCTACGTCTCGACAATGAATATGTTTCTGATGACCAAGCACCTACAATCTGTAAAGAAACTGGACTAAATGTTCCACTATTTTCTCAACTCTATCAGTATTTTAAAAAATTATTCGCAGCCACTCTCCCACCTCCATCTGATTCTTCCCATCTCTCCCTGTTTATTTTGAAGAGAAGAAAAACACACCAGTAATGGATATTATTATCCCTACATTAACTTTAATTATGTAGAGCAAAGAGATAGCTGGTAAGTGTGGAATATGCAAAACTAAACTTGACTAGAATGACTTACCTCCGTTTGTGGTATAATGAAAACACGAGCGTGATGCCAGAGCTCGAGGGCACCCGTATTTATTTTTACAAGTTTACCATAAACACCAGAGCATGCTATCACCATGCAAGATTTGCTCAGCACAGCTCATCTACAAATGTCACAACACACTCACTGACCGACTTATTTAGAGAGTTGGTTGGGATTTAAGACTAATAACATTAAGTAGAAGATGGTATAAACAACAGCTGACAATCTGAATGTCAGCAAGTTGAAATGGGAACGCTCTATAAAGCCACTAGAAAATCTGAAAAATTCCCTTTCCTACTAATTTCATCCCATTGTACTGAGCAGCTTGGTCATTTAAGGAGCACAGGAAACTTACACATTTTTTTTTTTTTAAAAAAAAAAGGTGCCCTGGATTACAAAGTGCCTGTGGGGTGTCTTCAGATAACAAGATAGCTCTGGAAGAGATCGTTCGTTCCAGTTTTTGCAACTCAAACCATCAGGGTAGAAGTAACGTGCTGTCAGAAGCTAGCTGAAACTGCATAGGTAAAGCTGAGGTGTGGGGATGGGGGAACGATAACATCACAATCAAGAAAAACAAAACTGAAGTTCCCAAATCACCAAAATAAATTTTCACAATTGGTCATCTAGAATAATCTCAAAATTTTTTCCAGAATGCTATAAAGAAAACATCTTTATGTTTTCTAGTAGACTTAACCTCTCCTGCAGGTAGGATTTAATTTATAATAGACAAGGTATTACTAGCTATATTTTTCAAATAGTCAAGCATTATAATATTTGTGTGACTTATGTATTTTTTTTTAAGATTTTATTTCTTTATTTGAGACAGAGAATGAGCAGGGGGTGGGGCAGAGGGAGAGGGAGAAGCAGACTCCTTGCTGAGCAGGGAGCCCGATGCAGGGCTCGATCCCAGGACCCTGAGATCATGACCTGAGCTGAAGGCAGACGCTTAACCAACTGAGCCACACAGGCGCCACTATTTGTGTGACTTATGTATTTTAAATGATTCTCTTGTTTTCAAATAAACACCTTGGAGCAATGACAAAAAAAAAAAATTACAAGTATTCATCTCCAATTCTAAATTCTAGCTGCTATTTGTTTATTTATCTGTGAATATCTCAAACATTAAAAGGAGACTGAAGTTTCAGTCAAAAGATTTAATAGTTCAAATCTGCCAAACTCTCAGACAAAAAAAGTGAAGTGCTGTTTTCCATTCACTCGTCATTTCTCTCTAGAAAAAAACACATGGTAACACAAAGACAGACATGGAGTGTTCAGGACCAAGTGGCAGGAAAGGCATCAGAATGCTATGATTAAAAAGAAATAGTGGGGGGCACCTAGGTGGCTTAGTCAGTTAAGAGTCCGACTCTTTGATTTTGGCTCAGGGCATGATCTCAGGGTTGTGAGATCGAGCCCCATGTTGGGCTCCCCGTTCTATGCGGAGCCTGCTTAAGATTCTGTTTGCCCCCTCCCCCCATCTCTCTTTCTCTCTCCCCCACCTGAGGAAAAAAAAAAAAAAGAAATAGTGGATGCACAACACTGTGAATGTACCAAATGTCACGGATTGGTTCATTTCGTTATGTGGATTTCATCTCAATTAAAAAAAAAAGAGGTCACTTCACAACGTCTGTGTAAGTTTCTTTATGAATAAGATAGGTATAACCCAGTCCTTTCAGTTGATCGCGGGGCTGATTGCATAGAGCTAAAGCTACTCTGGGTTCCCCGAATGAAGACAATAAGAAAAGTGTTCTCATTTTTTTTTTTAAGAATTTATTTTTTTAAGTTATTTCCCACGCAGAGGGGGCTAGAAATCACAACACCAAGATCAAGAGTCGCAAGCTCCACTGACTGAGCCAGGTAGGTGCCCCGGAAGAGTATTCTAATTAATGCACATCATATACACAACAGAGAGCACCACTTAAACCTTCCAAATGCTTAGTTATTTTCTTTCTTTCTTTTTTTTTAAGTAGGCTGCAGGCCCCGTGTGGAGCTGGACTTGGGGCTCGATTCCACAACCCTGAGATCAAGACCTGAGCCAAGGTCGAGTAAGATGCTTAACCGACTGAGCCAGCCAGGCGCCCTGACAGTTACTTATTTCCATCATAGTTCACTTCTCTCTCTAGAGAGGAAAAGCTCACTATTGCTGCCTTGAGTATTCCTGCGAGTCAACAAGACCATCATCTAAGAAACTGAGTCGATGAATTCCTAAGTCAGTCATGATACTAACTAGGAGTTTTGCTTCTGGATTCTTCTTTTACTAATATTTTGGAAACTGCTAAAAACACAATTCCTGAGATTTTAAATTAATGGTTACAAATAATATTAGGTATAAAAACAAATAAAAAGGAATCATATCACTTACAGCTACTGCCTCTGTTCTGTGTAGAAAGAAACAATCATATGGTAAATTGTAAGAAAGTGTCATAAAAATCCTTCCATCACTGGAAACGGTTTGTGTGGAAGTTGCTGTGGCCAAGTGCTCATGTCACGGTGCAGGCTGGGATACAGCAACCAAACGTGATGCCCAAGTTTCACCTTGGAAGAAACTTTCAAGACTAAATAAATAGCTTTATTACTAAATATCCCATATCTGCATTTGCACTTCACTTCACAGAGTGAGATATAAAAGCTGTATGAATACTTAATGAAAGAAGTAATTAGTAAGATATGAGACATCGTTCCCAGTTGAGTGGCGAGAAGACAAAAGATTCTGTGTGGTAGGCAAACTGCACTGAGCTAATTTCATCGCTGGTTTACCAATCTCCTTTTTGCAAACTCGGAGAACTAATTTTCAACACGACTCAATTGGCAAACACACGTCGTCTCTTATGCCATCTCTTGGTATTCTTGTGTTAAAAGCACCTTGAAATGAGGGACAGGGCCTTACACTTCTTCCCTCTCAAGGCACTTAGCACTGTTTAAAAAACTTGACGCTTGGGGCACCCGGGTGGCTCAGTCGTTAAGCGTCTGCCTTCGGCTCAGGTCATGATCCCAGGGTCCTGGGATCGAGCCCCGCATCGGGATCCCAGCTCGGCGGGAAGCGTGCTTCTCCCTCTCCCACTCCCCCTGCTTGTGTTCCCTCTCTCGCTGTGTCTCTGTCAAATAAATAAATAAAATATTTTAAAAATAAAATAAAATACTTGATGCTTGACTGCTTGAAATGGACAAATGATTTGAACAATGCAGCTGTCAATCTGATTATCTCAAGAAAGAAATATCAGATCTCTCTGAGCAATTAACACATGCATGTTCAAATTCTGAAACAGAAGTTTTCAATAGATGGTGTCTTGAGAAATCAGCCTTGGCATAGAAGCTCCTAGGTTAAACGTCCTGGTAGCAAATTCACAAAACCTCACCTGCTTGAACACTTCTTCATCCTGGTGAGTGGTCCTCACCAGTTCCTGCATAAAGCCATACGGGAGATTCCTGCAGAGCATATACGGCACCAGGAAGGACGGCTGCTGCATGGACCTGCGAACCCACAAGAGTCAAGGACCGTGATGGCTCAGCTCATCAGTGTGCGATAACACGGCACACGGGCTGTCACGTCAGCTGACATGTCCAGCCAAATGTCAAACTTTAAATCTCCCAAATATTCTACACAACAGTTTCCGGCAAAAGACCACCCTTCTTAAATTGTTCATAATCACTTTTTGGTCTTTTTAATGAAGAGACTATAGAAAGTTTCAAAGATCCATTCTTTCCTACAGTGAAGCCCTTTAAAAATAAAGCACTACCCAAAAAATGAGGCATTATATGTCTCTTTTACTTATTTGTTTATGGTGCATCCAAATGAAAAGAAAAGATCAGCGGTGGCTGAGGACTTTTAAATAAAACTCTTGTTAATTTTAATCATAGAATATTTTTTTTGGTTTTGGTCCATGTTTATCCTTTTCTTTCTTCTTCTTCTTCTTTTTTTTTTTTTTTTCCTTTTTAAGGTTCATTTATTTATGTAATCTCTTTACCCAACATGGGACTCGAACTCACGACCGACCTCAGGAGATCAAGAGTCCCTCGCTCCCCTGACTGAGCCAGCCAGGCGCCCCCAAATTTTTCCTTCTTTTTGACAATTTTCAAAAACAGATTGTTCTGGTACAGAAAATAATATAAGAACATCTAGAACAAATAAATGTTGTAACTTTGCCATTTCTTCCTCAGAAATTTTTGCATTACTTTTCCTTCAGATATTTTCATAAAATAAATGAAATATATAAATACTCTTATATTGAACTAGAAACCTTGATGGGACTCTCCGAAACAGTCAATAATGTAGTGTACTCTGGGTGATTCCCAAACTAACTGCTCTCCCACTGTTATTTATCACTGAATAACAGAAATTGATTGTATGTACGTTTTTTCAAAGATCTCCCCTGATTTCAAGGAGCTGCTTTTGAACTAAATACTAATTCCCTGCCTTGATGCTGACATATTTCAACAGTGGTCTAGAAGTAAAGCAGACAGTGTTTTATTTTCATAGTGTTTCAGAGAAGGAAAGGGACCTCCTGGGTCATCCATTCAACCACTTTTGTCTTCCAGGTGAGAAAGTGCGTTATCCAAGGTGAGGGAAGTCAGCCGGACAGCCCGATGTCCGCTGACGGATAGGCTCCTCTCCCTGCTAACATGAGCGCACATGGTTTTCCCTACCTTGGCTGTGTGAGGGAACCTTGTAGGACTAACGCAGTATGGGATATGCACTGGGAGCGGATGTTGCTCAGAAGCTGGCTGACTGCTGGCTGGCTGCACATCTGAAAGAAAAGGCGGAGGAGGTCAGGACTGCAAAAACAAACAAAATAAGCCTGTACTGTTGAAAACTGACAAGAGTCAGGAGACGTCAATCTCCAGGAAATGGCACGCTTTTCTCTTGCTTGACTCATAATGAACAAACCAGAGTAACTGCATCGTCCACGGGTACTGCCTCCGCTGAAATCTACAGTCAGAGAGGAGCGTACAGTGAGGAGACGAAGCGGGAATCTCAGAGCTGTGCGCCCGCCCTCCGCCTTTGTTAAGGTTCGGTGCAATAAACCGCAGAGAGGCCCTTCACAAATATATAACTAACAGGTGGACAAGTGGACTAGTTTGGAAAATGGGAAGTGGACAATGAACTGGGAATGAAATCATAATAAAGACAGCATGAAACAGGACAGAAAGCATAGCTTCTGGAGTTTAAACCCATTTTTGTAACTTTCATGTGATTCTGGACAATTACTCAGTGTCTCTGAGGTTCATCTGGTTAGTCATACAGTAAAAATAATACCTATCTTACACTAGATTAACTGAACAACCATGAGAATCTGAGCTCCTGTAGGCGAAACACAGGGTCAGCAGTCCGCAGGCACTCCATAAATGTGGGTTATTACTACACTTGTTACAGACTACCAGGAATTGTAAGGGCCATGTTAAGTCGCTGGTGGCAGTGGCACTTGCCCCCGTCACTTCTTCCTTCCACTAGGATGTGAGCTCTGTGAGGGTGGGGATCTTTGTTTTGTTCACTGGTACGCCTTGAGCTCCCAGCACAGCGCCTGGCACATAATACATGCTGGAGAACCATTTTCCTGATTGAATAAATGAAGGGAATGTTCCTTAAGGGGGCAAAAGATTATTTATCAAAAAATAACCAGGTTCTTATGGGTTTTTAAATGGATCTATTTAATATTACCTTTGGTGCTTTTTTTTCCTCTATTCCAACTCGGTCAAAACACTCGATGAGGTAGTTCAGCATGTCTGTCTCCTTGCAGGTCTCAATGGTGAAATGGTCGCTGTAGGAATCCCAAGTACTTGCCCCACCAGAGGCTCCCAAACTTTGGAGAAGAGAAAAGAAAACTGATGATTCTTACCTCTTCTCAATGAATTATTTTCGATAGAGTTTGCATTTCTGCAGCAGAAAGCCTGTTAGGATCCCTGTACCCACGACAAAGCAAAGACACCCATGCAGCCAAGGTTGGAGCTGACTGCTCATTGCACCTGCTCCAAATCCAACAAGAGTAACTCTTAGCAAACATTGTATTGACCTAAGAAGAGAGTTGGAGCAGAAACCCAACATCTTATCTTATTGGGAATGGCAACTTACAAAGCCAGAAGGACTAAGACCTGCTACTGTGCTGGGCACCTGAAGGGATAGCACATGTACTTAAAAACCAAACTAGCCATCTTCACTCAGACAGACTTGTAGGTTGAAACCAGACTACGCTACCGCAATCATCGAACTCAGCAGGAGTAAAGTTATAAAGACTAACAAAAAACCCCTTCTCATGCCTTTTGACATAATCTCAAAAGCCTTCATCCAGCATTTGGCAGTAGGACCAGAAAAGGAAAACTGTCCAGTTATAGAAGGAAACATAAAACTACTTGTTATTAACACAAAAATTTATAAAACTTTCAGTGAAAAAGGCAAAGTTGTAGAGTAAACACAAACAAAACAAAAAAATCTTGTGTAGGGGTACCCAAACTTGGGTTCTATTCCAGCTGTACTGCTTCCTTGTTACCTGAACCTGGAACCCCATCTCCTCTGCAGTGAGGCTTAAAGGAATCCAAATGGAAGTGCATTGTAGATTATAAGCAGGATACAACATGAAGCATTGTTATGATTAGTAATAACTATTCACCGAGACCAAAGCCAAACATTATCTCAAGGGTTAGGTGTGAGGAAATTAAAGTTTAGATCAACCATCAACAAGTCACATACCAAATCTGATGTTTAACTCACAAATTTATTTGATATACACAAAAGATACAAAGAGAGTAATCATGGCACAGGGAGAGGCTAGGAATTTTGAAATGAAAAGGAAATGAGAAAACATAAACTTAGCAAAAAAAATTACATATGAAAGATGATAAAGGATAGGAAGAATATCACGACCTTGAAAGACCCATCCCTACTTCAACTGGGGCAGACAATTAAAGGCTAGAAACCAACAGGACTAATAGGGATTGAGCTATTAACAATACGTTATACAGGTAGACGCATAGATATACGTAACTAATTCTGGAATATATGCATAACTGACCTTAGAATTTTAGAAAAAGACAGCTGACCCTTGAACAACACAGGGATTCAGTTGCCACCTCCATGCAATTGAAAATTGCATTTAAATTCTGACTCCCCCAAAACTTAAAGACTAATAGCCTACTGTTGACCAGAAGCCTTACTAATAACATAACAGTCGATTAACACGTATTTTGTATATGTATATATACTGTATTCTTACAGCATATTCTTAAGCTACAGAAAACAAAATATTATTAAGAAAATCATAAGGAAGAGGGCGCCCGGGTGGCTCAGTTGGTTAAGCGACTGCCTTCGGCTCAGGTCATGATCCTGGAGTCCCGGGATCGAGTCCCGCATCGGGCTCCCCGCTCAGCGGGGAGTCTGTTCTCCCTCTGACCCCCTCCCTCCTCTCACGTGCTCTCTCTCTCTCTCTCTCAAATAAATAAATAAAATCTTTAAAAAAAAAAATCATAAGGAAGAGAAAATACATTTATGGTACTGCACTGTATTTATCGAAAAAAATCCACATATATGTGGACCTGCGCAGTTCAAACCCATGTTGTTTGGGGGTCAACTGGATATATAATTGACCTTGGAATGAAAGTACGATATTAAAGTTAAAGAGATGAAAACAATGCCAGTTTTAAATCCAAGGCTTTCAGGCCAGAGTCTAGTAAATCTGAATTCCTACAATCTGCCCTATAGGTCTGACAGAAGGGAAGAGAGAAGATAGCATGGGGGGGGGTGGGGAAAGCAACATCAGAACAAAAGAGAAAAACCAACCAAAAATATGAGAAGTGTGGTGAATCCTCAAAAGTAGAAAGGGAAAAGGGAGGTATTTTCTTACTGCACCATCTCAGTTTCAAGCTATCTGCGATTCTTTCCTCTTCTGTCTGACGTCAGGGACCCAGGGACTCTATTATTCACTGCACTTCCAAAGGTGAACTTGACCAACACAGGCTTTCCCCAGACACAACTAAGGTTAATTTTCCTTTGAGTGGCTCTCTCTTGCAGAAAACAATGAAAACCGATCTGCCTCACGTTTGAAATGAAAATTTCAAACTATACATTTCCTTGATAATAAGGCCCAAATTGTTCACATTTTTACATTTCTGATGAAAAGCATCTTACATTTGATGCCGACAGGTCCTTGCCAGCTCCAAGGGGTCACTACCCACAGCCAGCATGCAAACATCTGCGTGAAGTCAGCATGCTTACATGGTGGCCACTCACACGCTGAAACTAGGTTCCATTCTTAGCCAACACTTCCCACCGACTTTTAACTTCAATGTGAACACCTCAAAGCCAACTGAGGTACCTTCACAATTATTTCACTGAGACATGAAAAGTGACAATGTATGTAGAAGATTGCTTGTCTCATGCCAGGCAATGCAATGAAAGGCATCCAGAATGTATCAGAGAATTTTCAAAGCTAAAAGAAGTTGGTATATTTTGGTGATCATCTGTCAAGACACCAAACAACACTTCAGCTGACTCTCAAGAACAGACGACCCAAAAAAATGAAATAAAATTTAACCAAATAGGAAATGCAGAATAAACTCCAGTATTTGTTCATAGATTACAAATTTTGGGATTGGTTCTAAAGGTGCTAAAGTAAACCATGATCCCCTAGCATGAAAAGCAGCCAGTCTCGACAACGCTACACACAGGTCTCAATGACCAAAACGCACAACGATCTTTAGGTTCAAAGTGAAAGCGCTGGACTTAAGTTTTGAATGCCACACTGAAGGAGAAAGTGGTGTAGTGTTCGTGTGCATATGTTCATGCTATCAATAAACATTTTTAAAGTTTTAAAATAACATTTCATTTTTCCCTAAACAAGTTATTCCCAAATTCATGATGCTTTTACAACTGTGACACATGGACTACCACACTGGAAATATGTCATATTCAAGTCCTATGAATATCTACAAACTTACACCTCATTCTGGGAGAATGTGTGAACCGTTTTCTGATAACTACACCGACAGTCCAATTTAATAAAGTGACTACTTCGCGTAATAGAAATACACCTGACTCCTTCTGAAAACACAATGCAAATCTTCCAGAGGAGCCGACGTGCATTAGATCTGTGCAAACTGAATCCCATTTGAAATGCACCAAGAAAACATGTTCCTTGATAATTTCTTCTATAATGGTATGAATAATCTCTCTCCTGTGTAACTCATTTTTTTGAATGCAGACTTTAGAATGTTGTGTTTTCTCAGTGCAAGGCAAAGTCAGAGCAGTGCAGGTTCAAGCAACGTGAATTCACTGAACAAATGTTCACAGTGTACTGAGCATTCCAGGCGCTGTTGTAGGCTCTGGGGGCAGACACTGAATGGAACAGACCCTGCTGGTATAGCGATTACACTCTAGAGGGGGGGATGATCCAAAATAATATAGGAATGCTATGAAGAACAATGACAATGGAGCATGGTGACAGAGACGGGCAGTAAGTGTGCGTGTGTGCTTTATATAATGTGTGATATGACCCTCTGGGAAGATGGTGCCTACACGGAGACCCGGGGGCGTCAGGGGAGCAAGCCATGCAGCCATCTTGGGGACAGCTGTCCAAAGAGAGGAAGGAAGTGTGAAGGCCTAAGGTAGCAGGGAATATGCTAGGTGAGGTCAAGAAAAGGGTGGCGAGCAGCAGAGGGCATAGGCAAGGGGAGGCACGTGAGGTCAGAATGGAGGAACGCGTGTGTGTGTGTGCATGTATGTGACACGAAGGCTCTCACTCGCCAGGGCAAGGCTTTGGGTTTTACTCTGTGTGAGCAGGGGCACACTGCGTGGGAGGGTTTGGAGACACACACGATGGGACTGTTTCCATGTTTCATCTCCAAGCAGTGACAAGCAGCAGAAATGAGAGGGTAAATGTGAACATTTTTCACCATTTGCTAATTTTTCCCTTTCTCTATTCACACAGGTTCACGATACTGAAGATTCTACCTCCTTCACTGAAATAATGAAGCAGTTAGAGATTTCTTTCCTAGGAAACACTCGGAAAAATTTTCCTCCGAGCAAATGCTATGTTATTTTTATTACAAGACAATTCTCTCACTTCGCTCATTCCACTCTTGCAACAGGTCGATCCTTATAATTTATACAGCTCTTTCCGGAGGACTATAGAACGTCACAGAAGGAATGTTCTACCTTTCTTAAATTAATCCTTCTCGTCCCCACTACAGATAATTAACATATGTACATATGTCCCAACTACTTCCAAAAACATTTGTAACGTATCAACTCCACCGGGCAAGCCGGAGGTGGGCAGGAGGGGGACAGACGTGGCCTCCTGTTGCTCTTCTACAACATTCATCTTACCGGGCAAGGAGTAGGTGTTGAAATTGCTTACTTGAAAGTAAATAAAATTCTGGAAAGATCGATTGGCAAGAAAATAACTGTTATTTCCTGATCACTCAAATTAACCTCCTCTCGGTTCTGGCCCTATGTGCATTCTTGGATTCCTCTCTATTTGCTTAATCAGTTATATATTTTTACATATCCTCTCACATTCTGCTTGATAGCTATTCAAGAGCTGTAACTTGCCAAAATCTGGATAGATCAGATTCTGTTTTAACAGCCAGCAAAGGACCTGCCAACTGAATGGAATTTTGTAATTACCGAGTAAAATGCTGGCACTTCCTTGCCAAGGAACAGAGTAGATGCATAAACACTCGGCAGCGAAATAACTAGTTAAGGAACAAGAACAACACGAGTCCTGCTGGGAGCACAGTGTGGTGGTGAAGCAGGTGAGTTCTGGACTCAGGCCTTGCCACGTACTTAGTTATGTGACTGACCTCCCTGTCCCCCAGGTTCCTTACAGTAACTGGAAGGGCTGCTGTGAGGATAGAGGGATAATGTGTGCAGAGTGCTGGCACAGGATCTGGCCCACGATGCTCAGTCAGTATTTGGAGCTATTATTACACGGTTATCTCTCCTTGTAGCTATAGAATCTAGATCAGAGACAAGGTTGGGATGCCAGGAGTCTAGTGCTAGTAAAAGCAGCATGCAATCTGGTATCTTGGTGAGAGCAAGCTGGAATGAAACAGGCCAGGGAGAGAGAGCATTTCTCTCACAATTTACAGTAAAACAGATAACAAAGCACTTCCATCATGTATGGAAATTGATTCCTAAAAAGGATGCCTGCTGCATTACTATAATCATGCAGTAGGATTTTATCCACATGAAAAAGACACTCTACCTTTGGGAAATTCACTTGAGAAACAGTAATACAACGTTCAACCTAATACAAATATCAACCTTCCTGAATCAATATTCAACCTTGCACCAACGTTCCTTTCTCTCTTTATGTACTCTCTCTAATGATTCTTCTGAACACTGTCAAATTTAATGAAGTGTACCTAACTCCTACTGCCATCTCTATTTATAGCCTGGAGTTATTTTTGAGCAGTGCTGGGCACAAATACCAAATCAGTCCAGTGGAAACTTCGATTTAAGAGCAAAATCGTAAGACAATGAATCAGAGGTTCAGAAAGAAGGTGCTATTATACTTTCTTGCCCCAAATCACCTAGAAAACCCAAGCAGTCTATTTTCACACGGTTTTCAGGGGGCAACATTCAGCAGCATCACGAACTCAGTTTCAGCCTCTGTTGTCATTCCAGAGGCTGTCTAAACAAGGGTCTAGCTTCACTGAGGTCAAGGAGGTGATCAGTGAAATTTAAGGTTAGAAGTGAAAGCAGAATCAGTTATACCAGACAGGATGGCCCCATATCCTCTTGAACAGACTGTCAGCCCGAGCTGGGGTGGAAGGGGGGTTAAAAGACACACACGCGCACACACGATCCCAGCCCCTTTGCCATTCCTAAGTAGCAGCAATCCATGCAACCGTATGTAAGGAAACATGCCCCACGGAGTACGTGTTGCTCACATCTGGCAGCTCACAAGAACACTCGCCATAGTTAAATGAAGGGCACCTCATTTCAGATCTTAGGGTGGGTGTGCTTGATGATTCATCTTTAATCTGTCATTTGTTTCTGACAAATGATTACACATAAGTTTTCCTCCAAACTTACCAGGCAACAATGATGAAGATTTTCCTACGTGCCACTTTACCCCAGGTAAGGTCCTAAAGCCTCGGTACATGCAAGCTCCCCACATCTTGACTATCCAGGCTGTCTCATTTGACCCTACCCTGTTTAGATCCAAAGCACGCCCATAATGAGGGCTTATAAAAGTTAGTTCCTAAGCACCTATGCACATGCAGGGGTAAGACTCCATTCCTCTGATACCTGGACCCAAACTGGACACAAGAAAACTCATCACCACCACCACCACCTTCATCATCACCATCATCACCATCATCATCTTCTTCATCTTCATCACTACTGTCGCCAGAAAGTGCGAGGAAGAGGAAGGAGAAAGGATTGTCGTACATACTACCACAACAAAAGCAAAAAAGGTCATCAGGGAACAAAGGAAAAACAAGAGGTGGAAAGCTTTTGCAACTGCTATCCCTTTTTAATTAAATGTTATGCTAAAAGTTCTGGTTACTGACATGCAGAAAAATAATTCACCTCGATGACATAAATGCACAGGTACATTCGGCGGGGAGGGTGGGGGTGGAGGGGAGGCACTGGGTTAGTGGAATTCTGATACTGCTTCTTTCTAAGAGGCTCAAGTCAAAGGGTCAAGACACAAACACCGGCCCAGCCCCAGTGATCAGAGGTGAGGGACACGGGCCCAAGACTTGCTCCCACCACCCCCTGGGCTAACGGTATTTCAACTCTGATTGACAACAGTACAAAGAGCTAAAAAGTGCTCCTGTGAGCCCCAACGCTCAAACACAAACTGCCCACAGCCTCTGGAATTCATTTGTAATGAGAAATGACGCATGAACTAGATTTCAAAAAAATGAAAAGTGACTTCTTTTTTTTTGGCCAGGAAGGAGGAAGAGTGAGGGGTAAGAACAGACGGAGGGAGGCACAATGGAACACCCACACCTTCTACTGTTATCAAAGCCTGGCAGAAGCATGGACTTGGGGCACGAGCCTACCAAACTAGTTAGACACACAGGTTAATAACCCCAAACAGGAAAGCACATGTAACTGAGGTCAGCGTCACACAGCAGTTCTTCCAAACCGAGTTAATCACCTCTCCCGGCACTGCAAACACGCACGCAGCTTTCCTGCTGAATAAATACCTAGGAGAGATCCTTAGGGATGAGGAACGTCTGCTCATGGCACTGGGGGAGGTGGGCAGGGAAGGTGGCCCCAGGCTGCCGGGTCTCAGTCTGGGAGAGCTGACAGGCACTGCTTGAGGACTACTAGCGAGGGCAGGGAGGCTGGGCGAGCTGGACAGGATGGAGATGCCGGGGGACCGCGGGGTAGGAGAAGCTGAAGAGCCCCACGGGGGGGTGAGAGTGTAGGGGCGATACCGTGAAGACGCGGGCTGGCTTCCTCCGGCAGCGCCGGGAGCCGCGCCATGAGGGCTGACGGGAGTGGACGGCACAGCCATCTGGCCGGCTGCACGGGAAGGGGAGGAGGCAAAGGATGGACTCGTCATCGGCACCGAGCTCCAGAAACTTGTCCTGGGAGCCGGGCTAGTTTCATAGAGGCTAAATCAGTTGAGAAAGAGAGGAAAGAAGAGAAAATTGAAGAAAAACTTGAGGTAAATAACTAAAATGGAAAATATCAAGCTTTTAAAGAATAGTACAAGGACACTTTGCATCTGTAAGCATTCAAGTGTACAAAGCTCTCAGATACTCATCTGAACGGTTATAATCTAATTACCGCACCGATCTCGAGGCTGCATTTACAGTCTGATAAAGCCCTCTTTCCAAAGAATAATGTACTCTATACAGCCACTGGCTTCTAAAATTTACCAACAGCCTAACCATGGGAAGCCACACAAACCAATCTGGAAAAGACAAGATCTCCAGCCACGACTAAACGCACCCACCCAAATACAACACATGGCACAACCTGACTGGCAAAGGCCCGTGAGTGAGCAGTCCCTTCCGTCACATACTTCATGGCTGTTGGACTACCAAACTAGATGTGCAAAAGGGAGCGCACTGACCTAGAGAAAGAGCTGGTACCGAAGGAACCCACACCGCAGAACATGGGGCTTGTTCCTGGGTTGGAGCCAGTAGTGGGCATGAGATTTCTGTCTGGTGACCGAGCTGCCGCTGCGATTGGCTGTGATGTGGCCGTCAGACTGGCAAATGGATTTTCATCTCTAGTCTGAGTAGACATCATTAGCACTTCCATTAAAATCTGGCCAATCAAGTCCTTGAAATCAGAGAACACTGTTGGAAAGGCAGAATAAGAAAGAGGTTACACATGCTTCTTCATATACACGGTCCTTGAATCAGCCAACTGGAACCAGAGGTTCAATGTGGTATCCGGACTGGATTCTGGAACAGTAAAAGGACATTAGGAGAAAACCCGGTGAAAATTCCAAATGAAGCCTGAGTTCAGGTAATAGTGATATCTCAGCTCTGACAAACAGACTATGGCTACAGAAGACGGTAACATTAGGGAAACTGGGTGAAGGGTATATGGGAACTCCCTGCACAATCTCCAAAATTTTTCTGTAAGTCTAAAATTATTCCAAAATACAAAACTTATTTAAAAAAAAAAAGAAAGAAAATTGGAGTGCACCCAGTGAGAATCCCTGCTGATACATATTAACCGTATAGCTACAGTCTTGCTACTCCCAGCTATGGACATTTGTTTATCATACTAGAAATAAAGCTGGGTTACATTTCTTCACCTACCTATGCTTTATATAAGGTAAAACTACTAAATGTGAGGTTCAAAATATTTTATGAAGCATCTAATATTTAGTCACCATCTGGCTTTCTGGAGCAAATTCTATTTTCTAACTCCTTCCTTATTCTTTGAAGCTCCCAAATGCTTTCCTCGAGGTCTTTGGATACATTTTAAATATCACTAAATAAGAGCTGTAACACATGTAAATCTTATCTGATTTGGCTATTAAAAATGATCACTTATATGTGTACAAGACAGATTTAAGAACCTTAAGGTTTACAATAAGAAAAATAACCCGGGGGCGCCTGGGTGGCTCAGCTGGCTAAGCGCCCGACTCTCGATTTTGGCTCAGGTCGTGATCTCAGGGTCATGGGATCGAGTCCCACGTCAGGCTCCATGTCAGCAGGGAGTCTGGCAGAGATTCTCTCTCTCCCTCTCCCTCTGCCCGTCCCCCTCCTTGCTCACTCTCTTGCTCTGGAATAAAAAAAAATTTTTTTTTTTAAAGTAGCTGTTGCTTAAAAAAAGAAGAAGAAGAAGAAGTGGCAGGCTTTTGAAACACATGGGTGCTAGGCTCATAGCTACAACCAGTTAATAAGAAGATCCCAGTAAAATCAGAAGTAAACTATCCATCTGCCAGGAACATAGGGGCCTTTTCTTGCCAAGGAAGAGGGGCAGCACAAAAAAGGGAAAGATGATCTCCTTTTCATTCACTCATTTAAAGTATATCTATTGAGGGATTATTAAGTGCAAGGCACCCTTCTAGGCACCAGGGATACATCAGGGAGCAAAAGAAACAAAAACCCCTGCCGTCAGGGTTATATTCTAGTGATACGCAAAGGAACACTACAGCAAACCACCCCTGCCTCTTCTGCATTCCAAATGACTTCTGTAAAGAAGAGTATCAGTGCCTGAAATGCTGGTATCTTGCTAGAGGTTTTATTACTTTGTTATAAAAGTGTGGTTTAGGGTAGTCTCTTAAAATAGAATCCTGGAAACACAGCAAAATATCAATGTTTTATCCTGCTAATAAGCAATTTAATCAAGCGGATTTACTCCATTGTCTGCACATGACCTGAGAGGCGCTTAAAGCAAGTAGAGGTCATACAGAGCACCTCTCCCAGGATCCCTGGGGACCGTCCGGTACACTCCTATTTATTAGAGACATTAATAACTTCAACTCTGAAACAATGGAGACCATTAACTTATTTATATAGTTTTCTTCTAGAGAAATCATGAAAGTAGAAAAAAAAATAATTTATCAATAAGATCAGTGGAAAGTGGCCAAACAGCAGTGTTCTCATCAAGAACTATCTCTGTAGTCAAAAAATATAACCCCAAAGTAAGAGAAAGTGAATGCCGGTAACAGAAGGGCAAAGATCTTACATTCTTGTTTTCTCTTAACAGCTAAGATGGATTCCTACCTTCTTTTGGGTTCTGCTTAAATTGTGCAGAAAGAGAAGAAAGAAAGATGACATCTCTGTCCCGGTCCTTCCAGGAGACACGAAAGATCTTACAGACCAGCTGTAAGGCCTGTTCTTCAGACACTTCAGAACCCGAGGAAGGCTCCTTGTGAGGAAGAAGATTTGGGGGTTAATTTCAAGTAATTCATTTATTAATGAGGATATTTTAGAAATACATACAACTGTTCACCCATTGACTAAGGGAAAAATAAACTTGTTACTATGACTTCAAAGTACCAACATGGAGGTTTCATAAGCTTACAATTATCTACGGGGGGTGGATAAAAGAGCGGGAACATTACCTGTAATCACCAAGGGAGTAATGTGATAAAGGATGTACATACATCCTATTTGTTTACTTTCCTGAACGCCAAAGGACCAGGATAACATCAGCACATAACTAATTTTCATCCAAAAACTTTTCCAGAATTTAATGTTACTCACTAGTTTCTGTCACAGATAAAATAGATATAAAAGAATTTTGGAAACACGCAAGAACTCTACAAAATGAAGCATCGTGCCATCAGAAGGCCACAGTCCAACAGATGACCATCACCAAGTGCTGCGGAACACGCATAAATCATTGCACAGTAAGTGATGCAACTGTCTCTACCAATTCTACCCCATGACACCCGCCCAAAGAAAACACCTCTCTCTGGCTAACTATAGGGAACTAAGCTTAGATGATAACAAAATATAAAGACCTCATATTTTAAATGAGCTTCTAAGTGCTACTGGACTTCATGTATTCTTGCCTCAATTCCCAGCCATTTTCCTCAGAATACTATGGAAGATGTGATGACCTACTTGTGTAAGCAAAAGACCAACAGAAAAAGTTCAAGTTAGCGTGAAATTCCTTCTCATTACAAACTCACTTTACTGATAGAAATATGGATCTGAAACCAAGGTAACTGAAGGATTTGACCAGATGAAAGAAGTGAGCTCTCCTTCCATTAGGACAATCTAGGCTCCATTTCTCCTCAAAAGAAAAAAAGAGTCACCTCAATAGGATTTGCTGACTTGGGGCGGTGCACTCTAATCGACTCTGCAGATGGAAGAACTAAAAGGCTATTTATATTACCTGTTCTAAAAACAGAAGCAAGGGCTTCATCTCTTACCAACCTTATCGCTGAGGCTCCTCTTTTCTCTTCGATCGTTTTCATCAACCTCCATATTTTCAATTCCTGAATCCACATCCACCTGGGACATGCTTTAAGTATAAAAGACAAATAAGGCTTTTACCTTTTATAAATCCACCCAATGTCATAGCTTCCTGGTTGAGGAAAAGTTCTTAAGTATCAGTCAAGAAGGCAAAATAATAAAGCAAAGAAGTCAAAATCAGTCAAGAAGGCAAAATAATAATAAATAAAATCTTTTTTCTGATTGACTTTTAAGAGCTCTTCATAAACTAGGGTGTAAACATTCTATCTATTATACTTGCTGGAAATATTTTTCCTAAGTTGTCATTTTCTTAGGCTCACTTTCAAAAGCAAATTAGAGGTTATTTTCTATACATATTATTTTTAAATGGTATACATACGATCAGAGCCTATTACAAAACTCTGGTTAAGCACATATATTTTCCCACATTAAATAAATAATTTTCCCAGCACACCATTTATTTAAAAGACCGTCCTTTTTATGCTAATATGAAATCACCTCTCAATAGGTCCAATGGACATGTATATATGGGTCTTTTCCTGGATATTCATTTCTGTTCCATTAGATAATCTGCCTGTCCCCAAACAAAAACCACTCTATCTTACTAATACTTCACAATAAATCTTGATTATCTGCTAGGTCAATGTCTCCACCTTACTCTCCTACTTCAATAGAGTCTTAGCCATTCTTGGCCTTTGGCTCTTCCACACAGAGTTAAGAATCAGCTTCATAGATTCCTTGAAAATCCTGCTGGTATTTTCACTAGAATTTCATTGACTCTAGAGATCAAACTGGGGAGAAAGGACATCATTATGTTATTGAGTCCATAGATAAGTATCTCTCTACAAGTACTTAAACCTTCTTCAAGGTCTTTCAATAAACTTTTTTTTTTTTTTTAATAGGCTCCACACCCAGCATGGAGCCCAATGTGGGGCTTGAACTCACAACCCTGAGATCAAGACCTGAGTAGAGATCAAGAGTCAGCCATTCAACTGACTGAGCCACCCAGGTACCCCTGGTCTTTCAATAAACTTTCTTAGTTTATTGAAAAGTTTATTTTCACTTCTTTTGCTAAATTTATACATAGGTACCATATGTTTTTAAATGAAACAGTGAATGGTACCTCTTTAAAAATTAAGTTTTCTAATTGCTTGTTGCTAGTCCATAGTAATATAACTGATATATAGACCTCCCAGAAGCAACTTATTTACTTATATGTAGGATTTACTAGGTAGAAAATAATTTCATCCACCCTATTTATTTCTTCCACCCTAATCCTTATTTGTTGTACTGCACTGGGTAGGATCCTCCCACGTTGACCAGACATAGAAGGAGCAGCCATCTTTGTTTTTTTCCTGATTTTAGAGAGAGTGTTTCTAATTTTTCACCCCAGAGTATGAGAGTTGCTGTAGTTTCTTGAGAGACTATATTAGTCAGAATAAGGTAAGCTATGCTGTGCTTACACACACACACTTGGAAATCTTAGAGGCTTAACACTATAAGGGTTATTTCTTGCTTACGCCGAGTCTGGTGAGAGTGAAGCATCCTTACTCCATCTTTAATCTATGCCATCTGCAATACACAGCCTCCAAGGTCACTGGAGCAAGAGAAGAGAGGGATGGAGGAGGAACATCGGCTCAACTGCCTTTACCTAAAGGTGACACATGTCACTTCCACTCACAGCCTACTGGACAAAATCAGTCACTTGGCCCCCATCTAATTGCAAAGGTAACTGGAAATGCAGGGGATCATGTGGAGTATTTGCTGAACTCTGTCTCTGCCATATTGTCAATTTAGGAGGCACCTTTGTTTCCTGTTTGCAAAGATTCTTATCATGAATTGATGTTGAATTTTATCAAACTTCTCCAACTACCAAGATTATATGGCTTTTCTCTTTCGTATACAATGTGGGGAATGATATTTATAGATTCACTAATGCTGCCCCCTTGCACTCCTGACATAAATCCAAGTTGCTCATGTTATGTTATATTATTACTTTAAACTAAACTTACAATTGAAATATCTGTACAGACCTATCCATAGATGATCGTGTGTCTTTGGTTGAATAAAGCTTCACAAAAGAAACACTGATGTAATCAGCACCCACATCAAGAAACAGAGCATTACCAGCACCCCAAGAACACCCCAATGACCCTTCCGCAACTAAGCTAGCCCACGGTAACCACTATCCTGGCATCCAGCCCCAAAGAAGTTTCGTCTGCTGTTTATGTGTTATAATATTTGATTTGTCAGTATCTCAAGATTTTTGCAAGTATGTTCATGAGCATGATTACCATGTAATTTTTTTCTTTTATATTATTCTTGTCTGGTTTTGATATTAAGGTCTTACAAGCTTTGTAAATTGAGTTGGTTAAGTATTCCCTATTTTTTTAAATTATCTGGAAAAATCTGTGTATAAGTGGAATGGCAGAATCTGCCCATAAAATCATACGAGCGAGGGGCTTGCTTTGGAAAATTTTAAAATACTGATTCAATTTATTTCATGGTTTTTGATCATTCAGGTTTTCTCTTTCCTCTTGAGTCAATTTTGGGAGAATTAGGTTTTTCTAGGATGTTTATTTGCACGTTGCGCATTTACATTTTTTTCATGGAATTCTCTTTTTTAATAACAAACATTACCGAGACCCCCTTTCTGTGCGGGCATTGTTCTAGTTGTCAGAGAGGTTGGTGAACAAACAAAAGGGACAAAACAATCCCTGTGTCATGGAGCTTACCTTCTAGTTAGAGGGAGAAAGACACCAATAAACATAATAAGTAAAAGATATCATATAATGATAACTGCTATGGAAAAATTAAGGAAAAGGCACTTGAGAGTGCAGGCCTTTCCATTTTAAATGGGGTGCGCCTCACTGAGAAATGCCACATGAATACAAATAGGAGGGGGGCTGGCCATGCACATATCCAGGGCAACAGTCTTCCCAGAAAAGGCTTTTTATTTCCAATACTTATTTATATTCTCTTTTTCCTTGTTTCATGTAAATTATAGCTTTATATTTTCTTCTGAGGACCACTTTAGCTACGACATACAGCTCGTAACACGGAGTATTTCTTATTGTTCAGTTCTAGAGCCTTTCAAATTCCCATTATGATTTCTTCTTTGATCTGTATTTAGAAGCATGCTGTTTTAAAAATTGCCAACCATATGAGGAAATTTTTAAGTTTTTTTCCTTCTATTAATTACCTAATCTAATGCCCTCATCAGAAAACATGATCTATGTGAAGCGTCACATAGAAACTCTCCGGTCATTGGGTATTAGGAAAGAACGTGTATTCTCCAACTGTAGAGTGCAAAGTTCTGTATCTGTCAATTAGATCAAGCTTTTAGCTGTGTTGTTTAATTTGTTCATATGCTTACGGATGCTCATTCTTTTTGATTTATCGATGGATGAAAGGGATGTTAAAATCTCCCATTTTGATTATGTGTCACTTTCTTCTAGTCCTACTATTGTGTGCTTCACTGCTGCTGCTGTCCTCTTACTAAGTGCATATATTTTGGAAACTGTTCAACAGTACACAGTGCTTATTTCTAATAATACTTTGTGCCTTAAAGTCTAATTTATGAATATGTTTACCCCAGTTTTCTTTTGTTTAGTATCTGTGTGGGATATCTTTTCCCTTTCTTTCACTTTCAATGAAAGGTTGAAGATCTAACCTAATGTTTTAGGTGTGCCTTCTGTAAACAAGGATAAAGCTGAGTTCTGTTTTGTTTTTACCCCAATCTAAGCCTTTTCACTGTGATTAATGACCAATTTTCATTTCTTTTGACCTTCTTATTTTGTGCTATTTGTCCCTTTTTTTAAACTTGTGTTTCTTTCTTCCCTCCTTTTGAATTGACTTAAATCCCTCCAAACTGCCAACTCCCATTCCGTATTTTCCCTTTACTGTTTTGGAAGATATACTCCATTCCTGTTCTTTTAGTGGCTACCCTTAAATTTTATCAAGTATCCCCAATGCAAAATCTAAAAGTTGGCCAGTGTCTTCACCCCTCTCCCAAGTACACAGGGACCTTCGAGCTTGCTCTGATAATCACCCCGCTTCTGGCTTCCCTGCTACGCTGTCCAGCATGTTACATCTAACTCATTGTTTTACTTCTCTCCCCCAATATTATTTTATATACTGTTACTACTGTTTATACTGCGTTTGTTTAGGTGTACCACATTTATTATCTTCATTCATCCTTCCAACTTGCATCTCAGACACCGGTCCTGAGATCATTTTCCTTCTTCTTCAACTACATCTGCTAAAAGTTGGGGTCTTCTGGTGGCAGACTATCAGGTTGTTTTTGTTTGGTTGTTTGTTTGTTGAATCGATAAATGTCTTTATTTCACCCTTGATCCAGAAAGAGAGGTGCACAAGGGTACACAATTCCCAGTGGGCGGTTAACCTACTCTCAGCGTTTGACACTATTATGCCTCCATGTGACTTCCATCATTCAGACATCTATCATTCTTTGGCAGATAATCTCTTTTCTCTCTCTGGCTGCTTTCAAGGTGTTTTGTCTTCGATGTTTGGAAATTTTACTACAAAATGACCAGATACGAATTTCTCTTGGTTTAATCAGCATGCGAGTTTCTGGGCTTTTTTAATCAGAGGGTTAATATCATTTATCAACTCTAGAAAAATTCTTAGCCGTTTATCTTTTTGATAATGGCTTCCAAACCAGTAGAGGAAAAACCATGGAATAAAGAGGGGTGTGGGGAATTGCTTTAAGTCTCCCTACTCTCTCCTTTTGAATTTCCATTAGGTATATATTGGCCCTGTGTCCATTGTATCTCTAAATACACTGCGTAGTTTTCATCTCTTTTTCTCTTTGTGGCACACTCTGGGTAATTTCTTCAGCTCTACCACTCAGTATGTTAATTCTCTAGCTATGTCTAATCAACTGTCTTTAACTCTTGCATCGAGTCTTCCATCTGAATTATCTTTTCATCTCTAGAAATTCTACATGGTTCTTTTTCAGATGTGCTTGGTTGTTTTTATAGTTGTTTTCCCCTTATTCATGTTTTCAATTCCCTTTGTAATTTATTTAAACATATGTGTTTTGTATCCCGTATCTGGTAATTCCAAACCCCAAAAATCTCTAGGTGAGTAATTCTGTTGTTCCTGATTCCGTGGTATCTTACTCATGCTGGCTTTTATCTAGTGTGTTCTGTGATTTCCGACCATGAGCTCACACTTCTTGGAAGTTTTTCTAAGGAAATCCTCTGAAGACATGGATGATTTATGTTTGCTTCTGCTAGATGCCTTATAGGCAGTGTAGACCTGACTCCACTGTATATGGTAGTTTCTCAGCTTGAGGCTTTTCAGACTATACCAATAGTGTAAATCTAGGTGCCAGACCCAATGAAGTCACCCACTGGCCATGAAATTGCAGAGATGACTTGATTTCTTTAAAAATTTATCTACTCAGAGCTAAGGTAATAAGAACACAATTGTTTTCACTCGGTGGGGTTGACTTTTTTTTTCTACTTGATCTTTTTCCTGAGAATGTAGTCCTTTCTGAATTCTTACCTACTGTGAGGTGATCTCTCATCTGGCTCCTTACCCCAACCCCACCAAGTGCTGAAACTCTATGCCAATGCTTCTTAACCTTTTCCACATCATAACACACATAGAAAAATAGTATTTGGTCCACTGACATAAACTGTGGGAGCTGCTTCAGGGCAGATAAGATGGGTCCTGGGCTGGGAGGTGGGGGGTTCTGGCCTGCCCAAGCAATAAAGGAATCAGTACCTCAGCAAATCTGTCACCCACTCATGGCACTCTGACAGCACAGGCACACTCTGCTCTAGGACGTCCTGACCCTTATGGAGCTCTGAAGGTATGTGGCTTACCTGTCTGTACCTTTCCAAACTTTTAAATTTCACTGATCAGTAAAACTTCGAAGAACTTTTTAGGGACTGACATATGCTTGCCAACATGGTATGTACAAATAAGGACATTACAAAAAAGTTAAAACAATTTTCTTTTTTTACCACTTATACCATTATTTCCTAAAAGATTTCAATACCAAAACAAAAAAAAATATTTTTTTTTGTTTTGAATATTTCAGAATAATACAAAGACCCATAAATCTCATAGATCTCACATTAATTTGCTAAGGACTGGCATAAATCTCTGGGCTGGCACTTGGGACTAGCGGACTAGAGACTAAAGTGACTGAATCTCTCCCTTTCCATAAACCCGACAGCTTACTGGAAAACTGGCTTACTTTACCTTTTTTCACAAGAGACACCATCGATATCCATGCTCTGGGAACGTGAGAGAGACTGAGATTGGGTTTCAAGGCTATTGGAGGGCGAGCTGCTGAGAGAACTGACTCCTTCACTGCTCTGGCTTCGATGAGCTACTCCTAGCCAGAAAAGACAGGAAAAATTAAGTTTCCTGTGAAGTAACATTAAAGCCAACTATACTGGCAACAGTAAACATAAGCATTCATACCACGATAGTCAGCAAATGAGGAATCTCTATCAGGAGATCATGTTAAATGTTCAATATTAAAATCATAGAAACATTAGCAAGAAATCATAGTTTATTCGTATATGTCATATGAGGTCAGTGACAAAGCTACATCTGATAGCCAAAACTGACTCATCACTTTTCTTTCACCAATTCGAATATGGTCCCCAAGTACAAATTAGCTTCCGTGATGGTCCAGAAAAATCCTTGAAATGTACCAAAAGTAAGATAAATTAATAAATGGCTATAGAAATATACAGATGGATAGATGTGTGACACAGCAAATATACCAAAATGTTAACAGGAGAATCTAGATGGTGTGGATATAGGTGTTCATTGCAAAATTCTTTCAACTTTGGTTTAGGCTTAAGATTTTCACAACAAAATGTTGGAAACATGCCAGTAGAGCCATCTAAGCAATGTCCTTAAATACAGATCAACTCATTTATTGATTGAACATCTCATCGAATGATAGTCTGGGGAAAATAAAATCCCCGACAATGCCCTTGCCTTCATTGAGCCTACAGTATAAAGAACAACAGCGATGAGCACAGGGCAGATTATTTCTTATCAATGTCTTTAAAACCCTGTTTTTCGCATAGAATTAAAAAAATACTCTATCTTTCCATGGGGGGGGGGAATGTTTTACCCAGGCATTTGCAAGTACTGTAAAAAATATATACTTAAGTTGCTGAAAAGAAAATGAGACTGACACTAATAATACATTATATGTTAATTGCATTTAAATTAAAAAATGAGACATTAAAAACAAAAACAAAAAACACAACAACTGGAATTACCATCTGCAGCTGAAACAAGTACCAAGTGGATGAACTTGAACACTCCCAGCATTACAAGAAAGTAAACTTGCCACCCTTCCCTCTCATTGAAGAATATCAGAAAACGTTCATCCATTCCTGATGGCGGGTTTTAACATGTGCCTGTTTATTAAAGCTTCTGCAGGACTCATGAAAGAAAAGAGAAACTAAATCCTCTATTCCTAAATAGACTCAAGGAGAATACAGAAAGTACCTAATGTGGTAAAAACTCTGAAATAAGCCTGGAGAAGATAGTAAAACTTTCAATTCCTGAATTCAAGAATATAACCCAAAGTAAGTTCTCAGTAACTATTTACTGAAGGAATAAATAATACAACTTCAACAAGGTCCTTGGGAGAATATTATTTTACCTAGCACAATAAAAGGTCTAACAATTTTTTTAAAGAATTTATTTATTTACAGAGAGAGAGGGCGCGCATGAGTAAGCCAGCGTGAGCAGGGTGGGGGGCAGAGGGAGAGAGAGAGAATCTCAAGAATCTCAACCCCGAGATCATGACCTGAGCTGACACCAAGGGTCGGACACTTAACTGCCTGAGCCACCCAGGCACCCTAACAGTTTTTGTTTTTTTTTTTTTT